TCATAAAAGCTTACTGTATTTACTCGGATAAGCGCCGCATTTGGGAGAAAAAAGCTAAGACATCGCGGCCCTGATATAAGCAAAATCAAAAGACGTTAAGACGGAATCCACCAGGAAATTGAGTAATTTCAATTTTCAGTGGACAAAAACCTTTTACCAGAATATTTTAAAGAATATCGCATTCTTTTTTACATTTTTCAAGGGCTTAAGATGTAATAAATCATCTGTAATAACACCAAAGAAAATTTCTAATAGAAGTCCGAGATAATGAATGTCAAATTTCACCAGAATTGTGAAAACACAGGTAAAATTTTGAAAATTTCATGTAAAAGATCTAATTTTGTGAAATTTGACATTCTTTATCTCGGGCTCCGATGAGAAATTTTGTTTGGTGTTATTACAAATGACCAATTACATCTTTAGCCCTTGACAAATGTAAAAAAGAATGCAATATGCTTTAAATTATTCTGGTACAAGGTTTTTGTCCACTTAAAATTGAAATTACTCAATTTCCTGATGGATTCCGTCTTAATTCTGTTTAATAGTTTAATACGGAAAATACAAAATATCCTATAATACCTTTGTTTCTTCGAATGGGTGGGCAATATTGTTCTTTATATATGGAGAACAACTTTTGTTCAAAACCTTACTAACAATTCATAGATCATTTTTTTATAACTTGCAAGTGTATCGCCGCTTATTGACCTAAAAAAGTATGTTCTTTAATCTGCTTCCTTGCATTTGCCTTATTAGGTTGGAGTATTGAATATTACATCAGCAGGGTTAGAGGCAAAACAAAGAGGCGCAATAGTAAAAGGTAAGTAAGGTTATATAACCTCCTGGCAACGTATACCAAAATGGATAAATCGAATAGTAACGCTTTAAAACTAACACTGAAACTAGTAATAACCAAAGGTTACGGAGTGCGGGCGACAACGATCGAAGGTCAAAACGCTTTTGCTCCAGATAGTCAAAACACGGGTGATCAGATTACGAGTGATAGAAGGTCCAAAATGCGCGTCATGAAATTGCGTTCAGTGCATTCCATTCATTGTTAGTGGAAGTCTAAATGAATGCTGGCTACATACATGCGACGCATGCGTAATAACAACCTGAAGATTAGGATTGCAGGCTCCTCTTGTCGCCCGCAATTACGGAGCGGGAAACTGGACAGATAAAATAAATTACTGAAAAAAAAAAGAATTTAAACGGATATAAAAAGGTTAAAAATTCCACCTGGCCGGGAACCGTATTCAAAAGTTGCAGCACCGTTAATTAAATTAGTGCAAGGGGCTTGCAACCGGTTCCTCCGGATTGCATGTCTAGAGCTCCGACCGCTGGTTCATGCTGTACTGTTTGTTTATTTGTTTGCTTGCTTAGCCGCAAATGTTCACTTTGAATCGGCACTCTGATATTTCACTTGAAACCAGTAGAGGAATGCGAAAACATAATCTCAATGGGATAATTTGTTGTTGTAATGATCTGGTGATATGGCGTCGAAGCCATATATGAGTTGAGTTTGTTGTTGGATCTCTCCCTTGCTTCTAGAGGTTTTTCCGGGTACTCCGGTTTTCCCAACATAACGACAACATAACGAATATGCTTGAAATAAATATCCCGATGTATATAGCGTTTACGCAATTTAAAATTCAAGGTATAAGAGATTTGTAACAAAGCTTTGTTGTATTTCTACTCCGGAATACGATCAATGGATCGCACCCTTGTTTACCAATCCATTTTCTTACAGAGTTCCCATCAGCTGAGCTTCTGTTCAGAGGGCTCGAGTCAAATATTTTAGATGGCATATTCATGGACAAATTCAAAGCTGGCCACTACCTACACTCAAGAAATAAGTCTAACCTGAAAGTTTTTCTGTCTGTTGATACGAGCGAAGCGGTGAAATATGACCTTGCTGTACTTGGCGGTTCAGCGAACAACTCATGCTTTAAATCTGCCATCATGGAACGTGATGTGGAAGAATTACTCCTACATTATTTGAAGCCGGTAGCGGTAAAGAATATATCTGATTTGATAAGAAACGTCAGTAGAATATAATACAATGGTCCTTGGTCGTTTCTAATACAATAGAAACGTCATCATTACCTACTGATTCCTCGCGGCCCCTGTTCAAGCAAATCGAGATTTTCTCTATATTGACTGTATGACTGTATATTCTAACTGTAAGTACTTTCCTTAATATACGCGCGAGTTACTAGAGTGCCTCCTCGGGCTTTCGCCTTCTGGGCGAAATTCCTGCGAGGGTAACAAAAAAACACCAAACGTCAGTTGGGACACCGCCTCTACAAAACCAAAAATGGATTATAGGTGCTGCCGCTTTGCTGTAATGGTTACGATCGCGTTACCACAATATAATCATCCTGGCTTTGAAATAGTAGCAAATACAGTCGAAGCTCTCCTTGCGACCACTCTCGTAAAGCGACCAGCTCTAGTTACGACTTCAATCGTGAAACCCCGTTTGAAGGCTTTGTAATGAAAAGCTAGCCTAGGTCCTAGCCCGTGAACAGGCCTTTGGTCTATTTTTCCCCAAACAGAGAGCTACCTAGGTCCAGGCTCCGCAGTTGAAAAGCCCTCGTACGCGACCGCTCCAGTGAGCGACCATGACCACTTTTGGGATTACCGAACTGCACCCTAGCGACCACTCGGAGTCGTATTCATATAAATCAACACTTTATTGAACCTGCACACTGGGCTGATGGTCTAAAAACTGGATGTAAAGTTTAGCCGTGTCTATATCAGATATAAAGACACTCAAGTCTTTTTAAACATTAATTTCTTTCTTTTTTTCTTTATGAATTATTAATAAGTTTTTGAAGCTCTCGTAAGTGACCACCCTCTATTGTTTTTCGATGCGGTCGCTTACGAGGAGCTTCGACCATATTAGTTATTTTCACTCCTTGACAGTCCTAGGTCGATTAAAATCCTTTATGTAGAACTCAAGTCATCTACAAATCAGACTAATAAATTCCTAAATATAGCAAAAATGTTAAGTTGGCATATTATTATATAATTGCAAACAAGCAATTTAGATAAGTTTTACCAAAGTTAATTAACGTGGAATGGTTGGGAAGCCCTTTGTTATAGGTTTTTGTTAGGTTTTTTGGACCTGACCGTGCACAACGTTCAATAGCATCCCTATCATTTTGGAAGTTATTGCCCAGTAGGAACGTACATTTCATTAATTTATTCAGTCATAATTTGTAAACAGAAAACAAAGGATTGTGCACAGTCAGGGAGCTTCCAACATAACCTTCAGCACCATTGTTTTCAACTTTGATGTTTGCCGGCTTTCCTAACCAGTCTCCTCTACTAACTATGGTTATACTCAACAGTATTCGTAAGTAAGTCTCATGCAATAAAAACATAGAAGTTTACAAAAAATGTTTTGAAATACTTAGTGCTAGATATTTAATAAACAAAGTCTTAAATGAAACCGTGGACGAAAGGGTTTAATGTGACCAATTCATCTGCTTTACAGGTCTTGCAAAAACTTTTAAGCCAAAGTCATTATGGCTCTTACCCTTGTAACTGCTTGAATTTTTTTCCTCCTTGCTCAAATTGTACATTTCAAAGTAAGAGGCATTTTCAACATGTTAAATTTAGTATTCACTACAAAATTGATTTGTAAATCGAGTATCATTTTTGTCTAGGTTGTTTTTGACAATGGAGTATAAAGCTTTGGCTGTTGTTTCTTGAAGAATAATTGCCTGATGAATTTAAATAGGCTCTAGCAGCAAACAAAGCGTATATGTCAGTTCAATAAGGTTTTTTCAATTATCTCTACCATTGCTCACTTAGGGCCTGTTTACATGGAGGTGGGGACCCCAGATAGGTGAGGTAACATGCCGCAGGTCACTCCACTTATCATGTAAATGTGATCAAATTAAAATGAGAGATCATAATAGGCGGGTAACCCTACCTAAGCAGGTTACCTCACCTACCTGGGGTCCCCTACCTCCATGTAAAAACCCTTTTTTTCTTGTCTCACAGCCATTTACATGAACCTGAAATACTCATTTACCAGGATTTCCAAAAATCTACTATCTGGGGGGAGACTCCAGGATTGTCCCAACTTCATCAGTCAAAAATATTTACAAAATACAAAAATCAGGTTTGAAAAACAAATTGTTAATAAGTAAAAAAATTAAAAGCGTTCACCACATCTATTTGTCTATCACGATCTATGAAAAATGCATTTACTTTGAGGCATGTTCCAAAAATAAGCTAGCTTTGTTCAGTTTTAACCAACTTAAGTGTTAAGAGATTGAGACAACTGAATGAATTAATTAAGCGACAAGTGGTTTGGATAAATCTGGCCACATTTGTGGCAGTTTTAATTGAAGCAACTTATATCTCAGTTCGATACCAACAAAACAAGAAATCTAAACAGACTGACATATATTGAAAAGTGTGGTCAAACATAGGGAAACAAAAAACAACTCTCCCTAAAGAAAACAATCTACCACATGGAGAAGTAAAAAGTGAGAGTGAGAACCCATGAGAACATGATAGGGAAGGCGGCGGGAAGAACGTTTCTTAATTCTGCGGTTTCAATGGCGAGGGATAGAAGGACAAATAATCTGAGAGTTTCTACTCTTAAACACAAGAACAGCCCTATAATCTTATTAGTCAATCTTTGATCCTGGTACAAACATCCCCACGGGTTATCTGTTCACATGCCTTGACTTAAAAAACATTTTGTCTAGACATAATGTTTGTCTTTTAAAAACTAAAAATAAACATTACTACAAGAAAGAGAGAATAATTGGATCCCTGTCTGTACTTTACCTTCTGCCATTACCAAAAACTAAAACAAGCCCATTACTCTTGACAATTTATATACTTCTTTTTTTTCGGCCCTAAGAAAGGCAACTGGAAAATATGAGTCTCCAGGGAAATGGAAAATATTTGAACAATATTACTTATCCTTCCTGAACAAGTAGCTTTTACCACAGTAAATATTACACAATTGTCTTTGTCAGTTAATCAATTGTAACAATTTTTGGTTTCTTGAGCAATCCTTTAGCAAGTTTCAATGTAGAGCAGTGAAATGAATGTTTTTTAACCTCAGAGCCCTTGTTGATAGGTATGGAGGTCTTCTGGATCCACTTGTTTAGTTTGGGATCATAGCTTTCAACTACAATTATCTCATCTTTCTCTGAAGAAGAAGAATAATATTCACCGACTGTACCCACTACATAAACTGTTTCGTTAAGACACACCACACAATGCAAATGAAATGGGGGATAATTCTTCACTCTGTCGTAACTGTTGTTCAAACGTGCAATGGTTTGCCATTCTTTTGTGGGAACCTCATACACTTCACATCCATGGAACGAATCACAAACAAAAATCTTCCCTTGAGTAGCCACACCAAAGGCACCGCTCTTCCTAGTTTGCATAGATGCAATTTCCTCCCATTTTCCTTCCGCAGTGTCAAACTTGCCAGCTTTATCACTATATCCACCACCAAGAACATACAGACAGTTGCCAAGAGCAACAACACAAGAGTCATCACTGTAATGGAAGTCCTGAGAAGATGTCACAGTCTCCCAGGCGCACGACTCTATATCATATCTTTTAATCACAGGAGCGGATCGATAAGGACGGTATATAGCATGAATTTTCCCATTAAGGGCAGCCAACGAGAGTTTCTCAAAAGGAGGGGATAACTTCAAAGTGGTCCAACTGTTGAAAGCGGGATCATACCTTTCTGTCTCAGCAGATCTACTCCGAGGAAAGCTATACAGCTGATCACGGAATTTTATTAACTGTGTAGTGTGGTCTCGGTCTTCAGATAATCCGTCTGCTAATCGCTGCCATTTATCTTTCTCGGGAAGGTAACAGTAAGTTGTTTTCCCTCCACGTACTACAATGGCGTGTGTTTCAAGCCTTCTTCTCGCCGGTTGAATTTGAGCATCCTCAGTTGCCGCACTAACTGACTTAATGGCATCCGTGACACGCCTCAAAATAGAGAAATGTTCTGTAACCAGTTCATTTGTCACGACATCAGAGAATAGAGAGTCACGCGAAAGCAAGACCAGTCGAACATGACGAAATAGCTGCCCAAACTTGTCTTTTCGCTCGCGTTTATTTTGCTCGATCCAGTTAAGAATGATTCTGAACACATCTTCTTCAGCTGCAACCAAAATATTCTCGCTTGAAATCCACTTTTCAACTTCTTCAGCATCCAAGTTTAAAAATTCGTCTGACTTTGCTACGGAGGTGAAGTTGTCTTGAATGAACTTTGTACTACGAAGAACAAGTTCATCACAACGATATCTGTCCGCAAAGTGAAAAGTTGAAATGCAATTGTTGGTAGACATTTGCTCCTCTAGAAATCGCCCGGCGATGATTTTCAAAGACTTAAGCAGTAAATAGTCGGCTGCGATTATCAGGTCCCTGGCATTCTTTTTATTTATCTTGACACTTCCTGTGTAGGTGAACTCCAAAACATCTGAGAGGACCGATTTGGAAATCTCCTCGAACCGAATGACTCCTTCCTCTTTCTCTTTCATCTCGCTCTGAAGAAGCTTTGAAAAAAACGGACTCGCAGCCGATAACACATTTCTATGGGCCTTAAATTCGTTCCCTTCTTTCGCTATTAAGGTTATGTTGCAGAAATAGGACTGTTGTCGCTGCATGTTGAGTCGCTTCATCAGTTCAACGCAAAACGAAGATTGTTTAGCTTCACTGATGGGTTCTAAATCAAGAAAAGACTGCTCGACTGACGAACTACATTGCCAAGTTTCCTCACAATCGTCGCTGTCGACGTCCTGGAGCTTTTTCTCACAACAAATACTTGAATCTTCCATACTAAGTTCAATAGAGACGGCGTCTCCCAATCTTCGGAAATTTCAACCAAGTCTCCTCTCAAGATCTCATGGCATTCGAAATGGCAGGGGAAGGGAATTTGGGCGCGAGACCGCGCACGGGGGAGGAGGGACGATTCTCGATCGCGCGCCTAGTACTTGGTGTAAGACTGCCCAAAATGTCCCGAGCCACCGCCCATTACTGCTAGTGCTGTAGTAGCTGTGCTATAGTAGACGCAGTAGTACCTATAGTATCCGTAATACCTGTATGTCCCGGGCCACCGCCCATTACTGCTAGTGCTGTAGTACCGTATAGTGCCTGTGTAGTACCTGTAATAGCTGTAGTACCTGTAGTAGCTGTAGTACCTGTAGTAGTAGCTGTAGTAGCTGTAGTAGCTGTAGTAGCTGTAGTAGCTGTAGTAGCTGTAGTAGGTGTAGTACCTGTAGTAGTAGCTGCAGTAGCTGTAGTACCTGTAGTACCTGTAGTAGGTGTAGTACCTGTAGTACCTGTAGTGGGTGTAGTAGCTGTAGTAGTACCTGTAGTAGCTGTAGTACCTGTAGTACCTGTAGTAGCTGTAGTAGCTGTAGTAGCTGTAGCAGCTGTAGTAGGTGTAGTACCTGTAGTACCTGTGGTAGCTGTAGTAGCTGTAGTGTCTGTAGTAGCTGTAGTAGTTGTAGTAGCTGTAGTAGTTGTAGTAGCTGTAGTAGCTGTAGTAGCTATAGTACCTGTAGTACCTGTAGTACCTGTAGTACCTGTAGTACCTGTAGTAGCTGTAGTACCTGTAGTAGGTGTAGTAGGTGTAGTACCTGTAGTAGCTGTAGTAGCTGTAGTGGCTGTAGTACCTGTAGCGGCTGTAGTAGCTGTAGTAGCTGTAGTGGCTGTAGTACCTGTAGTACCTGCAGTAGCTGTAGTACCTGTAGTAGCTGTAGTAGCTGTAGTACCTGTAGTAGCTGTAGTACCTGTAGTAGCTGTAGTAGCAGTAGTAGGTGTAGTAACTGTAGTACCTGTAGTAGCTGTAGTAGCTGTAGTAGCTGTAGTACCCAAAGTACCTGTAGTAGCTGTAGTACCTGTAGTAGCTGTAGTAGCTGTAGTACCTGTAGTAGCTGTAGTAACTGTAGTGGCTGTAGTAGCTATAGTACCTGTAGTGACTGTAGTACCTGTAGTAGGTGTAGTAGGTGTAGTACCTGTAGTACCTGTAGTATCTGTAGTGTCTGTAGTAGGTGTAGTACCTGTAGTAGCAGGGACCGCGGAGCAAGGTGAAATGTGGGAGGGCTGACAATTGAAAATGATTTTTTCCTATTGAAAATCGAAAAAAGGAATAAAATCATAGTATTTTATTTGTTTCTGTCGCGTGACTTTGCATACTTTATCCAGTATTTGTTTCTCTTTATAGGTCGGCATTAGTGAAGATACCGAAATTCTTCATACGATTTTCATTCCGTCCAGCAAATGTGTGTGCTAAATTACAGGATTGCTGACAATAAGTAGAATGTTATAAATAGAATAAAATAATATATAACCCATCACCAAAAATCCAATTACACTTAACGAATATTAGTCAGAAACAACTCGCACTTCCAAAAAATGAAACTTTTAACAATATATTGAAATGTTTACAAGTCAAACTCAAACTCACCATTTTCACTGCAAGTAGTTGTCGTCTTTTCTACAGAGCTTACAGATTTTGACGAAGTCCCAGCTAACTCTAATAAACGACCAACATACATGGTCAGTTCAGATTCAATGCAAGAAAAGACGCGATTACAATTTTAGTATAGAAAATACTACACTGAAGTGATCTGAAAAATTTCTAACTATGGCCGTTCACTGTTCAAGTAATGTAATTCTTCCTGCCATCGAATATTTCATTGATTCCAAAGGAGAAAGACAAAATATAAAACTTTTATCAACTCAAAACAACTAATCACCTTCGTTTGGCTTGAAAAAGCTAGTAATTTTCTTCATTTCGTTTGATAAAACTGATAAAAAACTCTGCCGGAGCTGAAAGTACAAAACACGCTGCCGAACGAAGCGAAGGGGTGGCCAAGGCATGGCGTTTGATCAAGGGGCCAGTCGGCCCCAGGGCACAATTACCGCGAAAAGTACAAGAGCCCCACAAAATGCCTGGCGTTTGAAATTAAAGAAAATACAGAGAATATAGCGGAATATAGACGGAAAAAAAAACTTGTTTCAAGTCTCTTTTTTTATTATTTCAATTATTTTTCTTTTCAGCGCAAAAGTGGGGGCGGGGGCGCAAAAAAGTGGTGGGGCCGCGGCCCTACCAGCCCCTCCCCCTCCGCGGTCCCTGTAGTAGGTGTAGTAGGTGTAGTTGCTGTATTAGGTGTAGTACCTGTAGCATCTGTAGTGTCTGTAGTAGCTGTAGTACCTGTAGTACCTATAGTGCCTGTAGTACCTGTAGTAGCCGTAGTAGGTGTAGTATCTGCAGTACCTGTAGTAGATGTAGTACCTGTAGAAGCTGTAGTTGCTGTAGTAGGTGTAGTATCAGTAGTATCTGTAGTAGGTGTAGTACCTGTAGCATGTGTAGTACCTGTAGTATCTGTCGTATCTGTAGTACGTGTGGTAGGTGTAGTATAGTAATAGTTTTGCATGACCGCATCATTGTACAGTATTGCAAAAGCATACCTATTACAATCAAAATATAAAACAAACAACACCAATAATGAACCAAAAAAAAATAACTGCATTACTAACATTGAATCATGCATTTTCATACAGGAGGAAATAAACTCCATAACTAACTCGTTTACATCATGGTTCTTCGAATTCTTTATCAGTTTCATGCTTTCTGGAGATGGTTTCTTGTCAAAGTCCGGTGTTATTCGATTGATTTGATTAATGAATGCCTGTCTCTGTACTGTGTTGTTGTTTTTTTTTGGTAGAAGAAATGAATCTTATCGTCAACCTGATCTATGTTCTCTTGACAAATGATCTATTTGGTATCGACCTTGTACAATCAGAAGTTTGTGATTACTTATTTTCAACTTAACCAAAATGTTCTCATTCATCATAATGTCTTAGCTGGTAGAGATAATCAGTTGTAGAATATTCATCTTTAAAAGTTTTATAAAATTCAAATTTTTTTTCATTTTCAAGACAGTGTCGCAAAAAAGATACCGGATATTTCTCTCTCATTTAATGATTTATGTGGTATATTGTCTAATTTTATCTAGCTAGCCGTGCAGAGAACTCGTTGAAAATCGTTCATACGCCTAGAACTATTGTAAACATAAGTAAATGAATAAAGAACTGATGGGAAAATGAAACTTCGGAGCTCAAGTTCTAAACCTTCCCAGAGCTCTTCAGTATTTTAAAATCAATAGATTATATCGTGACAGGCTCAGGGAGCCTCATAAAAAATCACTGTTAATCAAAATTTTAATGTTTTCAGTCTGTATATTTATATATAAGAGTAGTTGAGTTGGGTAGATGGAGACAGAATTTTGTTCAATTTACCCTTACCAAAATTTGTTTCAAGATTCAATTCTGCGAACAGAAATGTAGATAAATTCGATTCATTGAAAAGGTATTATTCTATCGTCATTAACGTTTTTATGCTTATAACATAGTTCTTTTATTGTTTGTATAGATAACTTTGTTATGTTTTATTGGCAAACATTTCTTTAATTTCTAGAATGTTCGTCTTGATTTAAATTCTTGATGTGCCTTAAAATGACAGATTGTTGAAAAAATTGTTTTGAGTAATAGCATAGCAAAGACAGGAAAAAAAAAAAGAATCTGCGAAATAGAGCAGCGGTTAGCTCGAGAAACTTATGAGTTTCCTATTACTTAGGTAGAGACTTCAATAAGAATAATTTCAATTTTTAAGAAAAGTATCTGATCATTAGTATTCATTAGCTCTTGTTATCGATAAATGTGGCAATAAAAGTTTTTACATTTGAATACAAGTCTTTCTGTTGGCTTTTTCCAGTCAGTCACACTCGGTCGTCTTAAAGTCGCGAGAAGGGGGTGGGGAAGGTGAATATATCGTTTTCCAACTCCGTTTCCGGACTCGCTTTCCAGTGCCCGGGGTGATGTCACATAGTAAAGGGTGAAAGCCTCAGGGGCACCCAACGACTGTCTCCTTTAAAGTACGTTGGAAACACTTTTTACGCTGTCCAGAGTTTTCTTTTCTGCACCCTAGAAATGCATTTTAAGCGGCACTACAAAATTGGTATCGTTTAGGTCATTAGAGATTTCCACAAGCAGACCACAAGTTGCTCGGCAACTTTTTGGCAACATCTCGTATTTCGAACAACTTCTTTCCTTTATTGCAACTATTGGCTTTTTGATTAAGATTTCTCTAGAACTTTATCATCCAATTCTGTGATATCGGAGCAGCTCTTAGTGTTTAAATTAGCCTTTGTCCCATATTTCACAATGTTTTGTAGACAATTTGCGAATTACCAGTAAAAAAAGGAGACAGATACTCCTCCCCCGAGGCACATTAAAGGCGCAAGATAAGTCAGCGGTGCTTACAGAAAATTTGAAATGATTGACGCAGATTCTCACTCGACTGACTCGAGTGTCTCGGGTGAAGAAAGCCATTAAGCAATTTTTTTGGCTCATTACATTTCTTTCGTGATTTTAACTCCGGACAAAGTTATTAAGCAACGCTGGTTGCGCTGAAAAATTGCACAAAAATGCTAAGAAATCTTACTTTTGTTTGTACAATTTGCATATTTTCATAACTTCAGACCAAACAGAGATTTTGTTTTTCGAGCAACTTTTGAGTAACTTTTGTTGCAATAAGCAACTTTTGAGCATTTGTTTGAGAAATAATGTGAAACAGATATCATATACGTGATACAGATCAGTTTCTTCATGGGCTCCTGGTCTCTTGAAAAATGATACCCTGGTTGAAGATTTTATCTAGACTAGGGAAACAGCTACTCTAGGATAGGGGAGATTTGGGAAGTTTACTTTAGTATTGGGTAGCAAAATTCAGCTGAACTAGCTCTGGTATAGGTTAAGGGTTCCAGGGTCACAGCGGCACATCCCTACCCAGAAATTCCTAAAGTACCCCCCCCCCCCCGGGTTTGTGACAACGATCGAAGGTAAGCTTATGTATTGTCGAATTTGACATGTATTAACTTTAAAAGCAAAAACATCTTCCCCACATTGGTATATTGATTCCTTCTAGCCAAAAAAACACAAGCGAAATGTTTTGTCATGATCCACAGCACCAATGAGTTCTAATGCCTTTTCCGATCATTTTGAGGGAAGATATAGAATCTCTGAATTTCGTACATCAACGTGGTATTTATTTACACACTCACTGCTTTTGTATCGGAAATCTTACTCGTTCGTACGATTTCTGCCTCATCTACTAATGGTTAAATACCATGTACTTTCCATGAAATATTTCGTAGATGTTACTTTGTTTATACCAGATTAAAGGAGGATTTTTTATTTTTATGGCCACGTCCTACGATTGTTCAGCGTAATAGTTACGCTCGTTGTAAATATCACCAAACGTAATTAAAACTGAAAAGCTTAAATGAGCCAATCCCCCTACATGTATACCTAAATTTGCACTATCTATTTCGAGACCTTTTCTTCGTGTGGATCACTGTGTAAATTCAGTAAACATAAATTTCACACTCAACCTCACGCAAGGAGTGTTTATCCATAGAATTTATCGCATTAATCACACAGAAACTTGAAATTTCAACGCACCAACATTAGTCACCTCCGTTTCTCATAAAATCACGGCAAAGTGCGGCATTCTATGTCCAAAGACACTGCTTTTAACGGAGAAATAACTCCGAGCCATACAATTCTTTGTAGCGAGCGACTCGCAATGTTTGCCTCCTGGCGATCCCAAAATCCTGTGCGCAAAACATGAGCATCCGATTACTGGAAAATCACAGCATGCGCAGCAAGCATTTCCGTTTGCTTTCATTCTTGTCCCCAGAGCCCGTCGTTTCTTGGTCACGTGGTCTTGAAACGAGGGGCTCTGGCACAGGTAACGCAAGCTCACTACCGGAACGTGACACCACAGGCAGCCCAAGCGCACTATTCGTGGGTTCGGGCTTCAGAGGTCATCTGATCGGAATATACTAGAATTATTAGTGTACAGTCAACTCTCTCTAAGACGGACACCTTTGGAACCGGCACTAGCTGTCTGTCTTAGAGAGATGTCCGTCTTATAGAGAGTCAAATAAAAGGAATATCAATAACTTCTTCGCCTTCATCCTCGCTTTGTAAGGGCAGTGAACATTTCCCCTCTCCCCAGCTTTTCTACAACACTGAAGAGGCCAGTGGTGTGCGCAGTCGGTTAACTCCAGACAAGGTTATGTTTGTTCGACTTACTGCTCTATTCCGCAACTTTACTGATATTGGATCAGCAATGTAAAAACTAAAAAAGAAACGGAAAATCTAATTTGGGGGGAAACCGGCCACTCCCAATTTTCATTTTCTATGAGCATGTGACAACAATTGCGGCAGAAGCCCATTTTATACCGAACCCTGGATGTGTTGAGACGCTGCTTCCAACAGCCCTGTTCCAAGAGCAATAAAAAGGCCGTAAATGACTGTGAAAAACTCCTGATTAGGGTGTCCCACATTTGAGTAATACAGTGACAATATTTTGGAAAATTCCGAAAAATGCCGTAACGATTTTCGAAACGTTTGACTTGTTCGATTTGTTGAAAAAGATGCTATCGTTTTCAAAAGAGTTTCTTAACTGAAGTTTATAACATCTTTATCATATACAAATAGCTCAGTACTTCAAAAGGAACGTTTGGGAGCAATATAAAAACAATTTTAGTGTCAGAATTACAACAAAATACAAAATCATAGGCTCGACTTCCTCCGTCTCCCGGGTCCGGTCTGAGTGCGGGCTCATTTTCTCGAACAGCGGGTGGTAATCGAGCCTAACAAAATCACAACGTAACTAGGACACAACTTCAGGTAGCTAAAATCCTGACGTGCTAACGGGCAAAACAGACTACAGTAAATTATTTTAAATGGTTGCAGTCGTTGTTTGGAAAAATGCATATCATTATCAACCTGGTTGGTAAAGAAATTAGGTAACACCATGATACAACTGCGTGCTATTTGATTTCCTGTTGCGCAGTATCATGATCAGTGTAGTGTATCTCTTTTCATGTTTTAAGAAAAGCAGGTACTGAATCCTCAACGTACGCATATGGAAATAAGCAGTATATTGCTCTTGCTCTGATTAGAGCCATAAAATACTCTGTAACTCTGTACTTGCACTAGTTTGCAATCAGTTAAAATAATACTACCATTTGGAGTTTTCTGTCTTGAACTTCCATCTTAACGCGCATGTTGCGCCAAACAGAGCGTCACGAAACAGGGCAGATTACTGGAAAAGCCGCAAAATGAAAGCCTCCTTGCAAGCGAACATTAACATTCCGTATTAGAGGTTTCTGAAACCCTTGAAAGTTGCTTATCATCTACTTTACCGGTCGACTCCTCCCTACGAGAACCTCTATTAAGATTCGGTTCCCACGGCGGACAGTTCTTATACTTCTCAGGCTTATAATCCCTACCTCAGTGAAAACTTCAGCAAGTAATGTCCTATTTTGTTAACCTGCGTGGCAGGCAAAGCATTCATTGTAATTAAAGGACTTGTGCTTGACAATTTATATAATCCATGTACTTGCTTGGAAGCGACATTTTCATACTCTAAGACACATTTTTCACGAACAACAAAGTGTTTGCTAATAAAGAATCCTTACAGTTTGCTTATAATTCTATTTACAAATCTTGCGTTAAAATGATTGCTGTAATTAATTAAGGGTTTCTTTGTGCAATGAATCATTTCGTATCTGGTTACCTCGCTCTCGCAAATCTTGCGTTAAAATGATTGCTGTAATTAATTAAGGGTTTTTTTGAGCAATGAGTCATTTCGTGTCTGGTTACCTCGCTCTCGCCCCCCCCTCCCCCCCCCTCGTTCCCTCCCCCCAACACTGTTTTCCCGATGTACAATTTAACTCGTTCCCCACTGACCGCTGCGCTCTACTATCTGAACGCCTGGAACAAGCTAACCTCTTGTTTGAATAGTTATCAAAGAGTTATCAAAAGGAGAATGTTTCAAATCCTTTTAGTCAGCAATTCCACCGAATTATGTGCGCTGTTATTCAATTTTATCAAGTACTCCTTTTGAGAGTTTCATTGCACAGCCTGTAAATGACGACCTTTCTTTTTCAGGGATTCTTTCCACTGGTATGGTGGTCTTCTGGGTCCACTTGTTCCCCACTGGATCATAGACTTCTACTGTGTATGCATTTGCGTATCTAGGCCGTGAACCACCTAGCACATAAATTGTTCCATTCACACACAGCATGCTTCCGTGTGAACGGGGAACATTCAAGCTTCCAATGAACTGCCACTCATCGGTAGTGATATTGTACACCTCACAACTATTAAGTTCCTTCCGGCTTCTGTCTTTCCCTCCTGCGACGAAAATTTTGCCTTGAAAAGCCACACCAAATGCTTCGCCTCTTTCCTGTTGCATGTCTGCAATTTTCTCCCACTGATGCCCAACAGTGTCGAATCTTTCAGCCACTGTAACATACTCTGGGTGTGAATAATTTCTCGTTGGTTCTCCTCCTAAAACATAAAGACAGTTACCAGCTGCAACAATACAAGAGTCATACCGGCAGCCCGATTCAGAAGAGTGAAAAGACAGCCATGAGTACGATTCCACATCGAATTTTTTCACAGTGGATGTTTTACCGGTAGTTTCACTATCATCAATGTGTATGGCATAGAGTTGCCCTCGGCAATCCAGATATTCTGTACGGTGGGAAATACCCAGCTCCAAAGTCGCCCAAATGTTAAAAACAGGGTCATATCTTTGAGTGCTGCAGCCATTAAAGGTATATAACTGATCATGAAAGTTTATCATCTTTGTGTATTGGCTTAGGTTTTGTTGTGGCTTTGTGAAATTGGACATAGTTTTCCAGGCGTCTTTCTCTGGAAGCAGTGGAAGGTAACAGAGAAGGTACTCTCCTCCGCCGACTACAATGGCTTGTGTCTCAAGTCTTTTTCTTGGTGACTGATTAATGATATCCTCGCTAGCGGTAGGAATTACATCTATGGCTTCCAATACTTTCGTCAAACAATCAGGGTCTTTCCGAACCAGTTCGTGCGTAACGAGAGTTAGCAAAGAGTCACGCGATAGCAAAACTAGTCGAACTTGTCCAAAAAGCTTTTTGAACTTATCTTTTCGCTCGCTTTTGTCGTGCTCGATCCAATTCAGTATTATTTTGAGGACGTCTTCTTCAGCTGATAAACGAATCTCGTCATTTGAAATCCACGTCTCAACGTCTTCCGCTTTCAGGCTTAAGAATTCCTCGGATTCTGCTACGGAGGCGAAGTTTTCGAGCATGAACTTTGTACTGTTAATAACTAATTCTTCACATCGATACTTCTCCGCGAAGTTAAGGGTTGAAATACAATTTGAGCAAGTCATTTGCTGTTGCTCAAGAAAACGCCCTGATTTGGTTTTTAAACCTTCAATGAGTAAATATTCCGCAACAATAATCAGATCAGTGGCGTTTGTTTCATTTATCTCGACACTTCCTGTGTAGATGAACTCCAAAATATCCGCGAGAATCAACTCTGAGATGTCTTCGAACCTAATAACACCTTCTTCTTTTTCTTTCATCTCGCTCTGAAGAAGTTTCTCGAAGAACGGACTCGCCGCCGAGAGCAGATTTCTGTGGGCCTTGAATTCTTTCCCTCCGTTCGCCACCAAGGTTATGTCGCACAAATAATTCTGACCTCGTTGCAAGTTGAGTCGCTTGAGTAATTCCACACAGAAAGAACTTTGTTCAACTTCACAAATCGGTTTTAAATCCTCCATTTTTCCCAGTGACTGATAGCAAACAAGCCCGGACTAGTACACAGCTGTCGTCAGCAATAGGAGTGAATGGAACGTGATGGCAACTTCCACTGAACTTCTAAGAATAGTGTCTAGTCTCGATTCAGTTGATTTCTCATCGATTAAAAGCTTCATTTCACAGCCATTTCGGTATTCACCGGTATTTTTTTCCTTTTTTGGTTTGTCTTCCGAATATAATATGTATGAGGGTATTGTTTCGAAAAAAAAATCTGGAGACTCGTGGTTTCAATAGGCCATTTTGCAGTTGTGGGCTTATTGTCCTGGCCCTTGTCATGAGTGAACGTGAGGTTGAGGTTAACCTTGTTTTGATACAAACCTCCTGCTTTTTCTAATGCAAATTTGGCTTAAAAACACTAGTTAGCATGAGAGCAACATAATAAAGAAGAAGGGGTTGAATTAAAACAAGATCAACTCCAGCCTCGTTTCCACCTGTAACTGTAAAATGGGCTGTTATCTTACCGGCGTGTAACAAAACAAAATGGAATAATTTGTTAGACCTAAGATTAAAGAATAGCTCTCTTAGTCTTTGGATATTGGCTTCGGGCCCGAAAGTTACCCGGATTTTCGAGAAGGCCCCAACACCGAGTCGGCGTTTTATTGACTCCAGCCAGTAATATAATTTAATTGAAATTCATCATGACATTAATTACAGCTGTAATTAACATCATCTTTCTTCTGGACTCTCATATGAAAGAGACGTGAATGCTTGACGTCTGCCTTAGTACGGGTGTAAATCGCAAATTTTCGTCTTAATTAGGAGCGATTTAGGAGGGTGTTTAGGACAGGAAAGCAATATTTTCACCCATACAGGTGTCGCTTGGGTTTTTCCCTCTATTTTCCTCATCCTTGATACCGTATATCACAGGTCAAAGGCATTGTGAGGATTGAAGAAAAAAACCTCTTTGATCTACAGGCAACTCTGCATGCCTTCTTTACTCCTTTTTGTTGACTCTCTAAGGGACTGTTTATATGATAACGGACTGACTTTCATTCCGGAATGAGTTTCGTTCCAGAGTCTGGCTCCTCCTCAGGTGCTTCGTTTTTCGCACAGAGGTGAGTGCGAAACGCGAGTGACTGTTGACGAAGCGCAAGGGACAATGGGAAATAGAAAAACGAGAGGCGAAAATTTCATCGAGAGAGAGCGTCTGGGTGCGAGGCAGTTCCAGAGTGAAGTTCCTACTGTATTCACATGATAGAATCGAGCGACACAGCCTGAGGCGCGTGGATCAGACACGCATGCGCCACTCACTCCAGACGATAAACTTTCAATGCGGAACAAAGTTCGTTTTCAGTTAACATGATACTAGAATGAAACTCCGTCGCAACAAGAGAATTTCATTTGGAATGAAAAACGGTATGACTTGTACGAGCACGAAATGTCGTTTCGATAATTGTTCTCGTCCCCAGAGGGCAGCGATCCTGTTGGACAACATCCCTTATGAAGACCGACACAGTGCCGTTCCCAGAGGTGTCCGTCCTAGAGAGAGTTGAATGTGTCTTTTTGCTGATGACATACAACACTCACTGACGTCAGCAGTACCAACAAAACAAACAAACAAAAAAAAACCCTCAAGCGAGTATTTGAGCACCCAACAGCCCCTAAACAGTCAGGCTAGTCTTTTTAGACCATACGAAAGTGGAAGGAGTGGTCGACTTTACATGCCTGGCTACGTCAACTGCAACGGAAACTGAACCTTGAACACAAACTGAACTGTTCAATTGACAGTAATCACGAACCTTAGGTAAGCAATAATTCCCAAACTGACTATTTCGTATCGCCGGATTTATCGTGATCATACATGTACGTACATACGATCATAGGTACAGCAGTCAAAAGGCAATATAGACTAAAACGAATAACTAACTGGTTGCCTCCCACTTGTTTGTTCTACGCTAAATAGTTTGCCCGGAGTACCCACGAACAAGCCAAAGCCAGAAGTGAAGTGCACGATATGGTATCATACGGACCGGAGAAGACTCAAGTCTGTTAATTCCAGAAGTGTTTGTATATTTGGTTATTCATATCCGAATGTCTACTATGGGTAGCCTGTGGTGAGAGGTGTCTGTATTCGCAGGGTCATCCAGGAAAGCATTTGCGATTTTTCAAAAGAAAGGGATTTCACTCGTTTACTTGCAGGCCTTTCGAAAGTGCATACACATGTGGTTAGTGCGACCACACACTTAACAACAGCAACAACTTTTTACAGAAAGCTGCGAAAACGGGATTTGTATCTTCCCCTTCAAGAGTGTATTGTAAAGGTAGCCATAGCATTGGCCAGGGATATAAGGTCCCTAGAGACTTTTTGGGAGGTAGCCGTGAAAGTCACGTGTTCGGCTGTATTGAAGATTTCCTAGGTTGCTGACACAACCGTTAGATAACGTATCAGATACTCTACTGAATAGACCTTTGTCAGGCTGCGGCCATTTGTCTCAGGAGATTGAAAAAGCTTTACTTATGCACGGCTAGCCTCGTTCTCTATACAAAGCTTTTTAAATCTCCTGAGACAAAATGGCCGCCGCGTGACAAAAGTCTATAATGCTTTAAAAATAGGCATCTAATCCTTGAAATTGTATTTGTTTTTTGGTAGTCAGTAGAGGACACGACATTTACTTTTTCTTTAATCTTATTATTCCAACCTTGCATTGTAAAATTTTTGTATACATGGCAAATAAAGAATGAATGAAACAAACGAAACCAGCAAATACACAACATACAACAAATCTGTACTCAGCTATTCCTTGGCTAGCTCAGCAAGCTAATATGCGCTGTCAAATCGAATCAGTTGCTTTTGATTAATTATATTAAACTCGGATTGATTAAGGCTGTTGCTAGTTAACATATCAATTTAGTGACTATGCGTGAAACAACACTATTTCAACAAATTTGTCAGATAATTCGGTTTTTTGATAATATCATAGTCTGTAGTTCTGGTTTTAGGAAAAAAGCCTCTCACTAAAGTCAATACTTAAAGTTAAACCTGAGGGGCCAATTTAATAAAACTTTTACAAGGGTAATTTACAAGTGTAGCCATTTTTTTAAAGTCTGAAAACAATAGCCACACTTGTAAATTACAGTAAAAGTTTTATTAAATTGACCCCTGGTGTAAACATGATCGCAACGATCTCTTGAGAACAGCTGTTGAGGTGTGAAATAAAGAAGACATGATGGAAATTCCATATTTTAGTGTGAAATAGAGTGCAGGGTTTCGGTGAGGAAGCCTCTCTTCCCGCCCGAATTTACAGGATAAGCTCTCTGCGAAAGCTTTCATTTTCAGAATCGGGTAAATCTTTTTACTTAGATGGGATGAAACGAGCGATTATATTTGTTAATTGTTAACACTGCTACATTGTAACCATTCTCCAGATAGCCTACGGGGCAGCTGTTTGAAGGGAAAGGAAAGGAGGAATTAATTTGCGTTGTACTTCGCAGCAGAATTTACAGTCTCCTGGGTAGCTTATTTTTCGTGAGTGAGTGTAATGACTATTTCTCTTGTAGATAGGATTGAATTGAAGGATGTCAAGGTTCAGTCGAACCCCGGCAAAGGAAACTTCAAAGATATTGAAGTCAAACTGGGACAGTTGGTTCGTTAAGTCAGGAAACTACAAGAACAACTTGTTAATATTTCGTCTCAAGTAAATGGGACTTTTGCAAAGAACACAACTCACATTTAGGCCTTGCCGGTGAAAATAGACGCCATCATAGGCTGATTCGGTTGTAAGGCTGTGTGGGGGAGTGAGAGTTGGATTCACCAGTGGACAGGCATGGAACGTTAAATAGGCGAAGCATTGTGATCACTTCTGCCTCATCATCTGAACGTGATTATTATTCCCTTATAAGGCTTTAAAACCAGCGTTAGCTGTTCAAAATCTGACCAGGTATTATTCTACCTGAAAACAGGAATACGTGTACCGGTAAACCTTGTTAAGCTCAGGAGAGGGTGATCCGTAGAATGTTTTGGATGAGAGTTAGAATAGAATGAATATGTGTAGAGAGTTGTGGAGAGAAGAACTCCGATAAAAAATCCCGAGTTGCAGCTGGGAAATCGAAGTCAGAAACTTCGTTGGATGCTCTTATTAAGTACTGGGAACCCCGGCCCTAGTGGTCATTGATGATCTTCTATAGGTTGCCAGGCAACTACTGCTTCGTGCAGTTATCAAATTATTTCAATGAACTTTGACTAATGTGGTCAGGGGAGGGGTAGTAGGGGAGGGGTAGTTGGACAGTTTCCAAGAACATTATGATCCAACTTCTAAAGTCAATTCTTCTAAAGGACAATATAATAACCACGATGTCTTTTCTTCGTGCTTTCATAAAACCAGATGTTAATAATCTCGTCAGCAAGGATTCGCATGTATATCTACCAACCCCGTTTTTAGTATGGGCATTTCTCGTAATCTGGACAGACATGCCACCAGACGTCAGTTAGGACACCGCTTCTATGTAAATCAGACTGACAAAATACTAAAGGTTTCCAAAAGCAGCAAAATTTTCAAGCTAGCATATTTTACTATACTGTCGGTTACCATACTATCACATGCATCACTTTAGGACAGTAACAAAAAGCGGTTATCTCCCTAATTCTCGGTATTAGGACGTCTAACCAAGACGTCTCATACAATAAAAAAGTTCTAAGTTTACGTCAAATGTTTGGAAATGCGCCCAGAGGAGCGTTGGGCGACAAGACCAAAACCGCTGCGAGGGAGACGAGACCAACTTATGAAGCGTACAAGTACAAAAGAGTGTATTCACTCATTTTTCTGTGTCACAACCATTTGTGTGAGCCTGAATTACTCTTTTACCAGGGGTAAAAAAACAAACACCATAGTGTTTTTTCTTATCTGGGGAAATCTGGTATTTGGGGAGAAACTCTAAGATTTTTCCCGACATTCACATGAAATACGAAAACTAGGTTTGAAGAAAATTTGTTAATATCCAAAAAAGCTTTCATCCACATCTATTTCTCTGAAAAAGCTCTACATGTTGAGTCGTTTCATCAGTTCCACACAAAACGAAGACTGATGGGAGTTTCACTGATGGGTTCCATGTCTAAAAGAGACGGTTCGACTGTGGGACCTTTTCTTGAAAACTCTCATCAGACCAGGAGGTTTTCTAGCTCTTTCGAGACCGCGTGCTGAACTCCTGCTAGTAATTTCTGAGGACTTAATGCAGGTCAAAAATTGTTAAAGTTTGTTTAATTTGATTAAAAATATGCTATCCTTTACTGAGATTCTCTCGTGAAGCTTTTTAAATTCTTTATTTTGCACACATACCTACTAAAACATGAACGTATATTGATTATTAGTTTATAGGAGCAATATATATAGTGTCGGAATTAAAAGAAGAGAAAATAGAAAATCAAACCTGAAAGGGCATACAATTAGTTAAAATCTGACACGCAAATGGACAAAATGAACTAAAATAAACCACGTATTTTAAATGGTTGAAGTCGTAAATTTGGAAAAATTCATAGTATTGTCAACATGGTTGGTGAATAAATCGAAAAAATGAGATCTTACTATGATACAACTCCTAGTTGGTTACCTGTTGCGTAGCCCGCGTTGCAGCCGGGCCACGCACTCGTCTAAACCATTTGTATATAGAAGGTTCATTCTCGTCCCCAGAGCCCGTCGTTTCTTGGTCACGTGGTAGTAAGCCGAGTGGCTCTGGGGACGAGAATGATAGAAGGTTTAGAGCGTCTGCGACGCAGGCACTGGCAACTGTTGCGGAGTATGATGATCAGAGAAGTGCATCTCTTTTCATGACGTCAGTACTGGAGCGAAGGATAATTAGGTGCTGAATATTTAACTAACTATATAAAATCAGCATTGCAGTATTGCTCTCGCCCTTTTTAGAGCGATAAAAATACTAACTTTTTAAAGAACTTTTTACTTGCAAAGTATTTAGAATCAATCAAAATAACACATGGAGTGCTCTGCTTTTTAAAAATTCCCATATTAAAGGCGTATGTAATAGCATCACGGGTTACTGAAAATGGCCGTATTCACTCCGTCTCTACTGTGAAAAGGATCAATGCCGTGAAATGGAGGCCTTTTATAAGAGAACATTTTCTGAAACGCTTGACAGTTGAAGTTGCTTACCATCTACTTTACATCTACGGTCGACCCTCTCCATAAGAAAAATTGTCTATCACGATTCGGGTCCTACTGCTGACAGTTCTTTGAGGCGACATTATGATATTCTAAGTTACTAACGAACTTAAAATCTTGTTAAACGCTACAATTGCTGTTAGCTAATTAGTTTTTCTTACAGTTTTCTCATTTTTTATCAACAAATTAATTAAGAGTTTTCTTTGTGCACTGAGTAATTTCGTGTCTGTTGAATACATGTTTCTTGAATTCTTCATAGCTAATTATCATAGCTATTTTATTTTACCAAGGACTCCTCTGGAGAGTTTCAGTGCACAGCCTTTAAATGCTGACCTTTGTTTTTCAGGGATTCTTTGTACCGGTATGGTTGTCTTTTGGTTCCACTTGTTCCCCACTGGATCATAGACTTCAACTGTGTATTCCTTCTGTCCTGGATAACGGGAACCACCTAACACATAAATTGTTCCATTTACACTCACCATGCTCCCAGACACACGTCCAACATTTAAGCTTTCAATGGACTGCCATTCATTCGTGGAGATGTTGTACACCTCACAACTACGAAGAACTTGTCCGCTCCTGTCCTTCCCTCCTGCGACAAAAATTTGGCCGTGAAAAGCTACACCAAATGCATAGCCTCTTTCATGCTCATGCATACTTGCAATTTGCTCCCATTGATGTCCAATAGTGTCGAATCTTTCAGACACTGTAACATACTCTGGGTTTAAATAACTTTTCGTTGCTTCTCCACCTAAGACATAAAGACAGTTCCCAGCTGCAACAATACAAGAGTCATACCTGCAGCCTAAATTGGAGGAGTGAACAGTCTGCCATGAGTACGATTCCACATTAAAGTTTTTCACAGTGGATGTTTTACCAGTAGTTTCACTATTATCAATGTGTATGGCATAGATTTGCCCTCGGCAAACACCCACATATTTTATACTATAGGAACTATCCATGTCCAAGGTCGTCCAAATGTTAAAAACAGGGTCATATTTTTGAAATTGACAGCCCTGAAAGGTATACAACTGGTCATGAAAGTTTATCATCGTCGTGTTCAGGCTGATTTTATTTTGCTGCTCTGCGAGATAGGACAAAGATTTCCAAGCGTCTTTCTCTGGAAGGTGACAGAAAAAATGATTCCCTCCGCCGACCACAACAGCGTGTGTCTCAAGCCTTTTCCTTGGTGATTCATTTTTATTATCCTCGCTTGCGGTACGAACTACATCTATGGCGTCCAATACTTTCGTCAAACAATCAGGGTCCTCTCGAACCAGTTCGTGCGTAACGACAGTCAGCAAAGAGTCACGCGATAGTAAAACTAGTCGAACTTGCTCAAAAAGCATTTTGAACTTACTTTTTCGCTCGCTTTTGTCGTGTTCAATCCAATTCAGTACGATTCTGAGGACGTCTTCTTCAGCTGCTAAACGAATCTCGTCATTTGAAATCCAATTCTCAACCTCTTCCGCCTTTTGGTTTAAGAATTCCTCTGATTCTGCTACGGAGGCGAAGTTGTCGAGTATGAACTTTGTACTATTAGCAACTAATTCTTCACATCGATACTTCTCAGCGGAGCGAAAAGTTGAAATACAATTTGAGCTAGTCATTTGTTGCTCAAGAAAGCGCCCTGATTTGGTTTTCAACCCTTCAGTGAGTAAATATTCCGCCGCAGTAATCAGATCAGTGGCATTCGTTTCATTTATCTCGACAATTCCTGTGTAGATAAACTCCAAAACATCTGCAAGGATCAACCCTGAGATGTCCTCGAACCTAATCACTCCTTCGTCCTTCTCTCTCATCTCGCTCTGAAGAAGTTTCACGAAGAACGGACTCGCCGCCGACAGCACATTCTTTTGGGCCCTGAACTCGTTTCCTTCTTTCGCCACCAAGGTTATGTCGCACAAATAATTCTGGTTTCGTTGCAAGTTGAGTCGCTTGAGTAATTCCACACAGAAAGAATTTTGTTCAACTTCACATATTGATTTTAAATCCTCCATTTTTGACTGATGGAAAACAAGCCCGCCAAGATTCGTGCAGAGCAGTTGTTTGTGCTTTTGGAGTGAACAAGACTGCAGTGAGGGAAGATTAGGCGCACAGGGAGTGTCATAGCAACTCCCACTATAGTATCAATTTCTCAGGGATTATTTTAAGGCCTATCGTAACGTTGTGTCTCCCGATCACCTGACCGAAATGTTTCATTACAAAGCTGTTTTCGGGGTCACGGTATTTTGGTTCTTTCGTTTTCCGATTATAATAATAATAAATAATGACTGTTTGCTAAGACTCATTGCAGCAATTTACAGAATGACTGAATAACAGAGCTATTTACAAAACATATAATACTAAAATATAATACAATAAACCCAATAAATACTAGCAAATATAATTGTACAAGCCACTAGGTATACTTATGCGTGACACTCTTACGTGCGCTTGGTCCTACAGGTAGGACGCGTGGAGCGGCTAATGCCAGATCTAAGATTATAATTATGCACAACCTCCTCCTGTTTGGGGAGCATAAAATGCAAGGGGTGATTCTCATTCCGGAGTCTGTCACTATAAACCTGGTATAGATGGGCGCGTCTGTCACTTAGAGTTGTTAGGGCATTTAATTAAGAGTTTTCATTGTGCACTGAGCAATTTCGTGTCTGAATTTTGCACGAGAGTCTTGGAACTGTGTAGTCCTTCGGAGTCGTGGAGCATATCGAGTGTAGATCATCGAATTAAACTTTACGCGAACTGATGTCGATGAATCCTTTAAGTGTAGAAGAGAGTACAGAACTCTAAAATATGAACATGTGAAGAAATATACTTTCAATGGAGTGAAGAATTAAAGCTACAGAGAACTGATTGTATCACACATAATTTGTGACAAGAATATCGCTCAAAGCTTTCTTTTTATAACCAACAGAATAACTAAATATTCTTCAGAACGTTTTCTTTCTAGTCGCGGTCAGAAAATGTCTAAGGACTTTTTAAGTTCTGTACTACTACCAAGTCAGATCATTGTCTCAAATCTTACAAAAGTGCGTAAAGTGACGGCATAAACAATGCTCGACTGATGAAACCAGAAAGAAAAAAACATCAAATGCAATATAATTATTCAAGCTTACGGGTCGAGATGCAGCTCGTGAAAGCCATCAAGTAAGGCCAGAATCGCCAAAGACTTTTCAACCCTCTTACGCATCCAGCAAGACGAAGTACTAAGAGTAACGTATTTTTGAAAACGATGATTTCCGATTACTTTTTGTCAAGCGGTGCATTTCTCAACCAAAACCCCAATAAACAAGCCAGCCAAGAATAACAAAAGAATCTTGATAGCAGCTGTATTTTATTTTGTAGATCCAGTGCAAAAAGACGGTTAAATCACGAGAAGATGCCACAAAGTCTGTCCGTTTCAGATATAAGTAAACAAGTCTCTAGATGCTGCATAAATTTTCCACACCAATCCTCGTCGCTAGCTCTTCAGTTGCTTGTAATTCTTGCTCTCTGTCTTTCTCTTTCCCGTCGCTCTTCACTTATGAGCAAATAGGTTGAATTCAATCCGCTATTGTTTGTTGCCATAACAATTTTTTTTCCAAACTGAGCACTACGGTCACAAAAAACTCCGTATGCTATGAAATACTTGAAAATAAAGTTCCAAAAATAAACAAGTTTTTGAGCGCGAAGGCAATGGCTTGCCATTTCTCGCTACGAAAAACGCGGGTTGCACAAATGCATCGCATGATTTCCCGCCAAGAAAATATAACACACCTCCCCTGACACCTGATTCCCTTCCCTCCCCACCAAAGAGTGTACAAGCGGGCGTACGCTGACGTCACAACCAAAATTTGTCCGATGGATGGTTCACCAAGTTTTCTTGGCTATGGGGCTCCGCTCGCGCGCGCAAGGAGCTCCGCTAAAACCAGTTGTCAATAATCTCGTCAGCAATGATTCGCCTGTACATCTACCAACCCCGTTTTAAGTGTGTGCATTTCCCTTGATCTTAATTAATTCTTTACTCTATTTATGAGCCTTTGGCCTAACCTAATATAGACATGCCACCAGACATGTGTTAGGACACCGCCTCCATGTAAAGACAAATATATCCCATTTGTTATTATGATAGCTTTTGCTAAAAAAAGACGTTACGATCGTATTCCTACAAGATAATCATCCTGACTTTGAAATATAGTATCAGTTATTCCTTGCTGGTCCTAGGTCCTGGACGTACCTGTCAAGTAAGAAATCAGACTGACAAACTACTAACACTTCCCAAAATTAACAAAATTTTCAAGTTGGCATATTTTACGATTCTGTCGGTTGCCATACGATCACATTCATTACTTAAAGACAGTAACAAAAAGCAGTTATTTCCCTAATTCTCGGTATTAGGTCGCTTGCCATCCTTCTTGATACATGCAGACCTCAAGACGTCTGAAAACCAGACCAACAAACTTTCATTCATAAAATCCTATCCTTACTTTCCAACAAAAGCAGTAATGTTAAGTTAGTATATTGCTATTAATTATTCACCGAAGTGGAGGTGGCTAGTGGTGTCTATTTACCGGGCAGCGACGCGGCGAGGTAAATACTACCACTAGCCACCGACACTGAGGTGAATAACTGTTTTAGTATTTACTAAAACAGTGAGATAATTGAGCACAAAAATGATGATTTTTAACTCATTTGCTGTTGGCAACGACTATAATTTTGGCGCGTAAATGACCGAACCGGCGCTCCACAAATGTCCAGCGCTGGCCACAAGATCCCTACTTTCCTTTTTCATCCTTAGTTCTACACTTCTCTGAGGTGTGGAAGTGTAAAATAACCCTAGTTTCCTTTCTCATGCCAAGTTCCATACTTCTCAAAAGTGTAGAAGTGTGGAATAGTCTGACAAAGTCAGGATAATGTATCACTCTTTCCCCAGTCACGATCCCTCTGTCATTCTTTACTTAGTTCCACACTTCTCAGAGGTGTGGAAGTGTGGAAACGTCTGACAAAGTAAGGATAATGTCACACGTTTCCCCTGGTCACGAAACCTCTGTCATTCTTTACTTAGTTCCACACTTCTCAGAGGTGTGGAAGTGTGGAAAAGTCTGACAAAGTAAGGATAATGTCACACTTTTCCCCTGGTCACGAAACCTCTGTCATTCTTTACTTAGTTCCACACTTCTCAGAGGTGTGGAAGTGTGGAAAAGTCTGACAATTTCAGGATAATGACACACTTTTCCCCTGGTCACGAAACCTCTGTCATTCTTTACTTAGTTCTACAGTTCTCAGAGGCGTGGAAGTGTGGAAAAGTCTGACAAAGTAAGGATAATGTCACACTTTTCCCTTGGTCACATAACCTCTGTCATTCTTTACTTAGTTCCACACTTCTCAGAGGTGTGGAAGAGTGAAAAAGTCTGACAAAGTAAGGATAATGTCACACTTTTCCCCTGGTGGTGAAACTTCTGTCATTCTCTACTTAGTTCTACACTTCTCAGAGGTGTGGAAGAATGAAATAGTCTGACAGAGTCAGGATATTCTCGCACTTTTCCCCTAGTCACGAATCCCTTGAAATTCTTTCCTTCGTTACACTCCTATGTATGAAATGAGAATAAAGCGCAGTGGGACTGTTAGTTGGTTTTACGTCTGCAACTCATTTTACATCTTTTTAAATGCTATTGTTACGTTTAGACAACAATTCTGTGACTAGAAGATATTAGCCTTGTTTCACTGCCATCTGTTTGAATAAGGATACCTGACCATAAAACAAACCTACGTTTTCTCTGTCACGAAGTCCTCGTTAGTCCTTTATCTTCGTTTATTTATATATTTATTTTTTAACGGAAACCTCAATAACGTCATCTTATCTATGGATTTTTATGTTTTTAATTTTTTATCTTAATGAGCCATCTATGAGGCGTCTTATTCTAAGTTTTCTTCCTTCCTATAGACCTATTCGGCTAACTCAATAAGAGGCACCCAACGTCAGTTTTCGGAAAATATCTGTTTGGAAGACGACTTGAGATCTAGAATTTTCGGAACATTTGTTGTAAAATTTCTTCCTTGCCTGCCTCTCCTAGGATTTTCGAACATCAAAAAATGAGCAGTTATGCCATTTTTGTTAACCTTATAAAGGTCACCTAGAATTTTCGGGAGCCTTTTTTCTGGCTGAAATTTTCGAAAAGGTAAGTTTTGATCCCTATAATTTTCGGATCACTAGTTTTTCAGCTAGGAAATTCGAACAGATGAAACATTTTTAGGGGGTATATTAAATACAAAATACGTTTAACAACGCTATGTCTAAGTGGTTTTGAACTATATTTTCGTTGGGTGCCCCTGACTCAATTGTACCCAATTTAAACCCTTTGGGAATAACACGTTTTGTTTCAGGAATTTTCATATCATTTAAATGTGAATGCTGCATTGTAATGTAAATACAATACACAAAGAATCTTAAACGTGGGAGATTTGGGATTTTTGGGGTACAACATTGAGTTAGTCGAATAGGTCTCTTAAGATCGTGACAACGCTAAAAATAGGCAGTAAAGAACGCAGAGTATCTGCGTTCTATTTTCCTCGCGCTATGGTCAACTTGATAAAGTTTATAAATGCTCAGATCAATTGTTATTGTTCTACTCCTTCATCTGGTGCATGACCTAAATTCGTCTAAGAATATATAGCATACTGTATAAAGTAATAATTGTGACTTATCGGCCTAGAGTATCATGAAGCGATACAGACGTGTTTGATGTTGTCATCTGACCTCTTTGATGTTAACCTATAAGTTGACACAGAAGCTTGCGAGCAGACCTTCTCTTGGCGGTCACAATATGCAAGAAAATTGAACAGAGGACACTTTGTCTTTTTCATGATTTATGTTTAGCATCTACATAATCTTTAGCGAAGAGGAAAAACTACGAAACAGTGGATATATGGCTGGATCTAACAATGATCAAAGTTGAAGCATACTGATAAGGAAGAAAGATTGGTTGGAGATTGGCTTTCGTAAACTTTAAGTTTCTTTCAACAGCTGGCATTGAAACAATGGTTATATCTTCCATTCAATATAAAAATAGTTCTTAAGGAAAAATGTAAAAAATGATACAGAAATAAAACCAAGTGCTCATAAAGCGCACTAGCTTCTCGTGACTCAGGGAAAGTGCGACATTAAAGTCAACTTGTCAAACAATTCCACACTTCTACACTGTAGAAGGCCTCAGAGAAGTGTGGAACTAAGTAAAGAATGACAAAGGGTCGTGAGATTATCGTTACTTTGTCGGACAATTCCACACTTCTACACTTCTGAGAAGTGTAGAACTAAGTAAAGAATGACAAAGGGTTCGCGACTATGGGAAAAGTGTGACATTATCCTTACTTTGTCAGACTTTTCCACACTTCCACACCTCTGAGAAGTGTGGAACTAAGTAAAGAACGACAGAGGTTTTGTGACCAGGGGAAAAGTGTGACATTATCCTTACTTTGTCAGATTTTTCCACACTTCCACACCTCTGAGAAGTGTAGAACTAAGTAAAGAATGACAAAGGGTTCGTGACTATGGGAAACGTGTGACATTATCCTTACTTTGTCAGACTTTTTCACACTTCCACACCTCTGAGAAGTGTGGAACTAAGTAAAGAATGACAAGAGGTTCATGACTGGGGGAAAAGTGCGACAATATCCTTACTTTGTCAGACTACTCCACACTTCCACACCTCTGAGAAGTGTGGAACTAAGTAAGAAGTCAAGAAACTCTGGATTTCATGGCCAGGGCTGGACAACCGGCGGCCCTCGCGTTTTCTTGCCGACAAATAAAACTTTTGAAAGCATTTGTTTAGCTCTTGCAGGGAAATTTCTTTAAGAGCGGTTGTGAATTCTTTTGTATTTAAAGCAATTCTGTAAAAAAAACTATTAAATCTAGTTTTAAGCTTATTTGTGAAGCTATCAGCTAAATAAAGTAACGCAAGACTTAATTTGCATTAGTAAACAACTAAAAAAACTTTTTTATCGGTTTTATCGATAAATTCAAGTCAAACACACAAAGCTTTACCTGTTAAAACTTCAAAAACCGAATTTTGTCACCTCTTTCGTGTATTTCGGGAACAGCTTCTTCGATTATTTGCGAAATTTCTTTGTTTGTTACGGCAACAAACCGGGAAGCCATTCTGCTCGTAACTTTCGCGAGTTTGGCGTCGCACTCTAGGAGAAACTGGAGGTGAATCAGTGAATAGCACTGGATATACAATGATTGAGTAGCCAATCAGAGCGCGTGAAAAAGACTATCCACTGTTTTAGTATATACTATACCCGGAAGAAAGAAGTGTAGTTAAGATGTACTCAACAGTCTTTTTTAAGTCTCATCCAATAAAACAGTTCTAAGTTTACGACAAATCATTCGAAATACTCCAGGAGGAGCGTTGGGCGACGAGACAAAACGGCTGCGAGGGAGACGAGACCATCTTATGAAGCGTATACAAACAAAAGAATATATTCAGTCATTTCTCTGTATCATAGCCACTTGTGCGAGCCTAAAATACTCTTTTACCAGGAGTACAAAAAACAAACACCATAGCTTTTTTTGTCAGGGGAAATCTGGTATCTGTGGAGAGACTCTAGGATTTTCCCGACTTCCACAAAAGACGGCAACAAGGTTTCAAGAAAAATTGTCAATATCGAAAAAAGCTTTCCTTTTTCACCTTCATTTTTTTGTCTACCATAATCTAGGAAGGCCTACAGAAATAAACTAAGCATTAAAAATAACTATTACTTGAAGAAAGAGAGAATAATGGATCCCCTGAATCTACTTCATCTTCTGTTACCAGAATCTAAAACGTTTCCAGAAAAATAGAAAACTTATTTGTATCGTTCGAGGCACACACGTCACTCATCCTTCTTGAACACTGAAATAACCTTTTCCACTATAAATACAGTGAAACCTCTATGAAGCAGACACCTTCGGGACCTTCCGAAGTGTCCGCTTAATAGAGGGTGTCCTCTTAATAGAGGTTTGTAAAAATTGTGCAATATTTGTTAACAATTAACTTTCAACGGTTACTCTGTATTGTGTAAAGTTCCGTGTTGTTAAGAAAGCTACGGAAGCTGTGCTGTACTTTGTGCAAGACTTTCAGTCTCATCTACAGTTCATTGACAGCTAAATGTATTGATTTATCTTTAATAGTCGACTACAGAACGTATTTCAAGGACTTAATCCAATACTTCTATTGTCAATTCAGTCCGGTGTCCGCTTAATAGAGGTTGCTAACAATAGAAATTAACCAACTACAATTTATTTTAGTGTCCGCGTCCGCTTAATAGAGGTGTCCGCTGAATAGGGGTTCGTTAAAGAGGGAAATATAGGACGTTAATTTTAGGGCCCGGTTTAGTGTCCGCTTAGTAGAGGGTGTCCGCTTAATAGAGGTTTTACGGGGTTTCACTGTATAAAAGAAATGTCGCTGTCGCCTTGTCATGTATCAATTTTAATTATTTTTGATCGGTAGAGCATTCCTTTAGAAAGTTTCAATGTAGCGCATTGAAATGAATAAGTTTCTTCCTCAGAGCTCTTTTTGATAGGTATGGAGGTCTTCTGGATCCACCTGTTTAGGTTGGGATCATAGCTCAATACAATCATCTCGTCTGGCTGTCGTGAATAATTTTCCCTGACTGTACACACTGCATGAAGTGTTTGGTTAAGACTCACCAAACTACGCAAACAAAATCGGGAAACGTTCAAACCTGCAATTCTTATGGTTTGCCATTCATTGGTGGAAGCCTCGTACACCTCATATTTATAGACCGTATCACAAACAAAAATCTTCCCCTGAATCGCCACACCAAAGGGACTGTTCATCCTAGATTGCATAGATGTTATTTCCTCCCATTTTTTTTCCGCAGTGTCAAATCTGCCGGCTTTATTACTACATCCGCCGCCAAGAACATACAAACAGTTGCCAAAGGCAACAACACATGATTCGTACCTGTAGTGGAAGTCCTGAGAAGATGAGATAGTCTGCCAGATGCACAACTCTACATCATACCTCACAATCACAGGATTGGATCGTCTAAGGCGGTATATAGCATGGATTTTCCCATTAAGAACAGCCAACGAGGATTTCTCAAAAGGACGGGATAAGCTTAATGCCGTCCAACTGTTGAAAAAAGGATCATACCTTTCTGTGTCAGCATATCTACTCCCAGGAAAGCTGAACAACTGATCACGGAAGTTTATCATCTGTGTAGTGTGGTTTCGGTTTTCTGATAATCCGTCTGCTAATCGCTTCCATTCATCTTTCTCGGGAAGGTAACAGTAAGTTTTCTTTCCCCCACGTACTACAATAGCGTGTGTTTTAAGCCTTCTTCTTGCTGGTTGAATTTGAGTATCCTCACTTGCAGCACGAACTAACTTAATAGCGTCCGTCACACGTCTCAAAATAGAAAAATGTTCTGTTACCAGTTCATTTGTCACGATATCAGAGAACAGAAAGTCACGCGAAAGCAATACCAGTCGAACATGACGAAAAAGCTGCTCAAACTTGTCTTTTCGCTCGCGTTTGTTTTGTTCGACCCAGTTAACTATTACTCTGAACACATCTTCTTCAGCTGCAATCAAAATAGAAAAATGTTCTGTTACCAGTTCATTTGTCACGATATCAGAGAACAGAAAGTCACGCGAAAGCAATACCAGCCGAACATGACGAAAAAGCTGCTCAAACTTGTCTTTTCGCTCGCGTTTGTTTTGTTCGACCCAGTTAACTATTACTCTGAACACATCTTCTTCAGCTGCAACCAAAATATTTTCACTTGAAATCCACTTCTCAACTTCGTCGGCTTCCAAGTTTAAAAATTCGTCTGACTCGGCTACGGAAGTGAAGTTGTCTTGAATGAACTTTGTACTGCAAAGAACAAGTTCTTCACACCGATATTTCTCGGCAAAGTGAAAAGTTGAAATGCAATTATCGGTGGACATTTTCTTCTCTAGAAATCGCCCGGCGATGACTTTCAAAGACTCAAGCAGTAAATAATCGGCTGCCATTATCAGATTCATGGCGTTTTCTCCATTTACCTTAATACTTCCTGTGTAGGTGAACTTCAAAATATCTGCGAGGATCGATTCCGAAATCTCCTCGAATCGAATGACTCCTTCCTCGTTCTCTCTCATATCGCTTTGAAAAAGCTTAGAAAAAAACGGGCTCGCCGCTGAAAGAATGTTTCTATGGGCCTTGAATTCGTTCCCTTCCTTTGCTACTAAGGTTATGTTGCACAAATAGTTTTGTCGTCTTTGCATGTTGAGTCGCTTCATCATTTCCACACAGAACGAAGATTGTTCAGCTTCACTGATTGGTTCTAAATCTAAAATGGATTCATCTTCTTCTACTTCTTCTTCAGAACTGGTACCAAATAATTTAAAGGAAGAATCCATACTCACAGCTCAATTAGCAATGGAGCGTTCCCAATTTCACAAGGTTAAGTTGTTGTTAAAATGCAAATAGTCTCGGGATTTCTTAGTTCTGATAGGTAATGATAATGATAACGTCGCGGATGAGAGGACATGAGAAAACAAAAGGCCGGCAAGAGAACATGCGAGGAAAAATACACCTTCGAAAAAGGCCATTTTGAGGAGCAAATGAATGAATGAGTACAAAAGCATTCTCTCTTGATGAGTAATATTAATCTTATTGAAGATGCCAACTTCACTTAAACTAGTGATTTACAGGAGGGTCTCAATGGATTTTTCTCAGCGGGCTCAGATGCGGCTAACAATAACATAAACATGAGGCATTGTTTTCTCATCAAGAGATAAGTCCTTGTGTAAGTGGCGTCCGATTTGCTGTTCATGAGGTACAAAAATAATCTGCCGTAGATGCGGCTAACAATAACATAAACATGATGCATTGTTTTCTCATCAAGATATAACTCCTTGTGTAACTGCCGTAGATGCGGCTAACAATAACATAAACATGAGGCATTGTTTTCTCATCAAGATATAAATTCTTTTGTAAGGCTGTGTATAAAAGTGGGACGGGGACAAGGGGACGGGGACATTGGGACGCGTGTGTGGGGACTTGGGACTTGGGGACGCGAGGGGAGGGACGTGGGGACATCTGGTATGGGACGCGGGGACGTGTGGGACGGGGACGGGGACGCGGGGACGTCAAATATAGGGACGCGGGGGAAGTGGGGACGTTAATGTTTGTTGTTTAAGTCGAAGGTAAATGCGATACCTCTTTCTTCACAACCTACCCTACCCTCCATATGGTCCCAATATTCCAGCAAGGAGACTTGGACAGCGGTCTCACTTTATTCAACGCTGGGGGTTCTTCGTCACGTTTATCGTCATGGAGGATTTCCCAGGTAAGGTTATGTTGCGTTTGTCTCGATTATCACTAAAATCCTAACACATCCTTGTTTGCATCTTGTAAATTTTGAGCTTGAAGGATACTATAGGCAATACTTAGTTTAACGATTTGCATTTTTGGTCGCCAGATTGTTCAGATTTGAACTACTTATCGGACGAAGATACAGAAGATGCTAGCGTTTGCAAGCGGAGTAGAAGGTGTGCTTCGTCACGATTATTTTCAGTTGTTTTGCATGTATAAAAAAGCCTTAATGTTACTACAGTATTTTACGTGTATAGAAAGAATGCATTGCCACTTTGCGTGGCTGTTCACGGCCAACTTGGCTTCTTTGCTAATGTTTCTAGATTTTAAAAGTTACATGATATCTTCATTGAAATAGGGTCATGAGGTTGCACAGCAATTCTGATTTCAAGTTTTCGTTAACACTGCTATTTTCATTTTTTCTCTATAGTGTTTTCAAACAAAGTCAGGATGAAGTCTTTGATACGGTACGTTCTTTTACTATATTAAAGGTAGTAATGGATTAACAACGTGTCCTTCCACAACCATTGAAGATTAACGCAAATTAAAAATCTTACACATCAGTCCAGGTTAAATTTGGGCGATGTTGATTTTTGTATTAATTTTTAACCTTTGATTTTATTTAGGCGGATAGCAGCCCTGTCAATTCCCCAAATGCTAAGAAAATTAAGAGGTAGGTTTTAAAAGTAATTAAGCAGCTGGTAATTCTTGGATATGCAAGTTTGGGGGATGCTAATAGACCCCTCCACGGTTTTTTCAACATTTGACATGGACCGGTTAGTGAAATTCCTTTGACACCACTGGACAGAGCGCCTTCAAATTGGTAACATTGGCAAAGTTGCAAAAATTTATAGACGTTTGTAAACTTGTACCCACCATACAAACGTCTGAAAAATTTCGCGACTTCGAGGAGCTATATCTTCGTTACTTTTCGACAAATCACAAATCACTTTTCTTTCAAGGCGCCCTTTCCAGTGGTGAACGTTTTTGGGTGATGCAAGAGTTGGTTAATTTCCTTTTATTATTATTTTTTATATATATACAGCAAAACGGTTGTGCGGGAGGAAATCGCGTTTGTAAGGCGAGAAATCGAGATAATCGACACGAGTGAGGAAGAGGAGGACTCTGAGGATAGTCAGCAGGTACATTGAGTGACACATAATGATAACTTATACGGTATCTAATAAGTACTGACATTTTAGGGTGATTCTCCAGCTAATATACAAACCGTTCGTTCTCCAGTCAGTTCATTTGCGAGATAATCATGAACTATAGTCCAAACATTTATGTTGACAGTCAGTGGTCTCAATTTTAAAGTGACAATTTTCTAAAAAAACTATAACCGTAGAAAAACGCCGTTTTACAGTACTTTTTCTTCCCTCAAAAGCGACGTTATACGTGAAAATGACTGTTTAAGGAAGTAATTTTCAAGATCAAGCTACTCTACATAGTTTATATTACCCAAATGAGCCACTGAGGTTCCATGATTGTTCTTAGCGCACGCAGTTTAAGTCATTTTTATTGTTCCTTGTTCCATCAAAGTTGTAGCGAGGCCAACCACTGTAACAGTTTTCCGACTTTTAGAATCTTCAGTTGGTGATTAACGAATCATCCCAAAATAGCAATGGGTTAATTAAACATGTAGGTGCTGTTTTATAGACTGTCTTATGAAACAATGTTTTTTTTAGGAATTCAAGAAGTATTACGAAGACGACAGCCGCCTTCCGTATTTCGAGAAAGGCAGACAATCACCATATTCCAGTAAAGAGAGTGTAGACATTCTGCTGAGAGTGAAAGAACCATGTTGCACTGAAGTCCCCCTTCAGGTGATGGAGAATGCTTCGTTTGTAATAGATTTAGATACTCTTTCCCACCCCGAAGATGTGCGGGCGGACGATCTTGGCAAGTGGATCCATATTGGCTCCCCGAAAAGCTATATTGCTGTTGAGAGAAACAAAAGTGGCCATATCCTGGATGTTCAAGTGACAAGGCAGAAAAGAACAGACGCTGATTACATCATGGTGGTAAAGCAGTATCTTCACCACGACAAGGAGGCACAATATCGGAAGCGGATGTCTTTCGTGTACGATAGCAAGTCGAGAAGGCACCGACTGGCATTGCTTCAGTATTACTTTGAAGGTGAAGAAACCCCTTTGAACCTTAAGGAGCATGGAAATTCAAAAAACAACACAGAGCCTTATGTTCGAACGAAACCAAGCACATTCGAACAGCTGAAAGAAATATCCAGAAGCTGCCAACCCCGAGAGGTCTTTTTCGAAGCTGTACGTCAGAAGGGGGGATTGCAGTTTTGCCGCTCTAAGAGTGATCTGCCGCGAAATTCCGGGCAGGTGCAGAACGTATTATCGTCTACTTAGGCATCCTTTATGCCGTCAGCTAGTTCCAGTAGAGATATCTTGCTTGAAGCTATGGAAAAGTGCAAAACTAAAGATGGTTATGTCAGAGAGGTAGTTGGTGCACCAGAGCCTATGGCCTTTCTTGCCACTGACAGGCAGCTAAAAGATATCGAGCTGTACTGTTGTCAGGAAGACGATTTTTCAATTCTTGGTATTGATCCGACATTCAATCTTGGCAATTTTAGCGTGACTCCAACGACCTACAGGTGCCGCAAAATTGTTAACGTAACCACAGGTAAATCACCTGTTTTCCTTGGTCCCATGCTTGTTCATCAGAGCAAAACGGAACAAACGTACCGATATTTAGCCTCATCAGTCAAGCGATTCAATCCAAACACCGTGTCTCTTCAAGCCTTCGGCACTGATGGCGAACGTGCTTTGTCAAATGCATTCAATGAAGAGTTCCCTGTGGCTGACCATCATCGTTGTTTTATCCACCTGCGTAAAAACATTGAAATGAAACTCTCCAGTATAGGCATCAATGGGCGTTACCAAAATGAATTTCTCGACGACATATTTGGTCATAATGCAGCAGCTATCTCGTATCACGGAATTGTGGATTCCGATGATTCGGATGACTTTTATGCAAAACTGTGCTCGCTGGAGGATGTTTGGAATGCTCGAGAATGGGAAATCACATACCAAACTCCCACATTCTACGACTGGTTTGTCAAAAATGTTGCTGACACGATCAACGCATTGATGCTGAAACCCACGCGACAAAAGGCGGGACTTGGGGATTCCCTATACACAATAAACGACAATGAACAGAAAACCACCTGTTAAAGCTCAAGACGGACCACAAACGTGTGAACCTCGTAACGCTTATTGAAAAGAGCCATGAACTTGTGAAGGAACAAGATTCGTTGCTGGAAGGAGCAATCATTGACCAGGGGGAATGCAGACTCTCAGATGAATATAAGCACCTGAAGATATCCCCAGAAAAGTGGAGAAAGATGAATCCTACGGAGAGAAGAGCGTACACCAAAAAAGCCAAAGAAAGTGGTCCCATGTCACAAACGCTTTCCACACTCTCCATATCACATACACAGTCCGGCATCTCTGGTATCCCAGAAAGCATTTTATCCCATCAATTCTCTAAGGCCCAGAGGCTCTTGCGAATGAATAAAGTTAGACATGGCTTTGGGGAAGACGATACTCTATTGGTAGCATCGGATACATCAGCGAAACCGCATGTTATAAGGCAATGCAAAAATGGTAAATTCTGTTGCGATGATGACTGTCCCGCATACAACCATTCCAGTCTTTGTGCTCACACACTGGCGGCAGCAGAATTCAAGGGCAAACTCGTAGATTTCGTAACATGGCACAAGAAAACTGGTGTACAGACAAGTGTGACAAAAATGTCTACTTATGGGCTGGATGTTGGCAGTGCTGGTAAAAAGCCACATCAACGAAGAAGAGCGAAGAAGACCAAGGAGAAAGAGAACTTCATCGTTGAACATGTAGACAGACTGCAAACTCCATCTCAGAATCGCCAGCCCGTGAAAATGAAGATTGTTCGAAGAAATGAAGAACACGAAGTCTTGCAAGAAAGTCTAGCAGAGACGGACGAAGGGCATCGTGAGGACATCAATTCGTATTCACTTGTGTTCCTGTCTGATCATCCCCGAGTGACAACTTGTACAGGATGTGGAATCAAATTCGCTCGAAAGGCCGATGGTGGACTCTTTCCTCCTCCGCATGACGTCGCCATTACACACAAAGAACACCGTCCCTGGAAAGATAGAAATACACGGATCTTGAGAGTTGGAAAGGAACAGGCTGTCTATTTTCATGTAAATATCTCTTGCGTTCAGAAAGGAAACAGCATCAGTAGCGCTACCTTTGACGGAGCACAATTAGACATTCATCCCATTGTCAAACAACGTCTGAACAAAGAGCATAAAGATTTCCTCTTCCAGCAGTTGAACATTTCACTATAAATGAGCAACACTGTAAAACGTTCCATGCCGGAAACACTACTTATGAGTAAATGCGTTGAACCTCAGCAAACAGAGCATGTAGTTAAGATTTAAAACTATTATTACTAAGTACTGGTTTGTGTTTTCATTTTGAGGCGATACCTGCCCTTTTTAACAAGTTTCAGAGTAATTGCTTGCATTAGGTGCAGTGCATACCATGCGGTTGCTTCTTAATCAATAGGAGATTTTTGGCCTCCATCAACTGTAAGTTATAAAGTGAAATTTTGTTGACTATGCAGTGAGCACTAGCGTTGTAACGTCGTTCATATTCTATTTACATTTCTAGGACAATGGTTGCACTCATTCCAAGTTATTGAAAATGAGACAAAGATTATAATAATTTGCTTACAATTTGTAATGAAATTAGGGATACGCGAGGCAAAACTAGTTGGAGGATACCTTTCATGGCTTGTTACCAAGTCATTCCTCGTTACAGTTTTATTGCAACCAGTGTCCTAAGTTCCTTTTGCTATTACAGCGGTAGTTCAGTGTTACAATTCTTCAGATTACACAATTGCAAAAGTAAGGGAAAAGATATTTATAAAAGAGTTACTTAGCAGTTTAATTTGCGGCCAGGTAAACGTACAAAGCAACCAAATATCAGAAGGTCAATAAGCCGAATTACGAGTTTACAAATTAAAGCATGCTGTTCACGTTCATGTTATTTGGCTGAACTGTCTCGTTGCAAAGTGACTTAGCTAACCAGAAAAACAGTTTTGCAATTTGTTAGATTGATTTCCTCTGGGTGTAGACAGTTCTGTTAATATGTAAACATTCTTTATTATATAAGTGAAGTTTTCATAAATTAAAATAATGAGTTTATTTTGCCTTCCGTTCACAAAGTGGTGCTCGCTGACTCTTTTTTTATTTTGGCCTCCTCAGACAAAGCTTGAATACTTTTAGAGAAAACCCGCTTTGATAAATAGTGACATGAAAATGCTTTTTTCCATGGCTTATCGGATGTTTTCAATGACTGACACGGCTTCTGCCACAGGTCGTCCACCCTCTGTGTTACACTTTCATTCACCCAAGGGCAAGTCGGTTATGTACGAATCTCCTATAATGCTTTATTTGCGGCCCTTAAAATAAGAACTGGCAGTGAGTTGTTAAGCGAGAGGTGATCGCGCTCGCCAAACAGTGAACTGAATGTCGTTATTTCCCTTCTGCGAAAGAATTAAACGCCGCTTTTAATCGAGCAAACCAATGCACAACGTGATGAAATATCGAGATATCTTTTCCGAAATCTGCGTACGTTATAACGCTCAGTTTAGCCGAAGACATCTCCGAACCTAAAACTTCTGTATATTATAGTCAGGGATGTGCAAGGGTTGCATGATGATCAAAACAAAAGCACAAGAAACTTACCGTGGAAATCCTCGATCCTCCATGCTTGTTTACGAAACGAAGACTCGGCCAAGACCCCCTGCATTGAAGAAAGTGAAACCGCTGTCCTGGTCTTCTTGCTGATAGAAAATTGGAGCCCTAAGCAGGGTAGGGTGGGTAGCGGTCGCCAAAATTTATTTTCGATTCCAAATAAATAAAAAAGGAAACTAGATTACTTGTGGCATAAGCGAGCTTCGAACCCCGAAGTGCTAGCTCCGAAATCTATTGCATGTGCGTCTAAACCACGGGGGATTCAACTATTGAAACAATATTCTATTTTGTTTGACATATTTTTAGTGGCAAATCTAACAGTAAATGCTTGCTAACAGTGCTTAACCCTAATCAAGATAGTCAGTGCGCTTACTCCTATATGAAGAAATATTTTGTGTAAACATCATAAGGTGTCCGATGTGGTTAAATAACACATTTTCACGAAGAAAGAGATATCGCGTCCTCCGACTTTACCTCCCGCGTCCCCTACATTTGACTTCCCCGCGTCCCATACCAGATGTCCCCACGTCCCTACCATCGCGTCCCCAAGTCCCAAGTCCCCACACACGCGTCCCAATGTCCCCGTCCCACTTTTATACACAGCCCTTTTGTAACTGCCGTAGATGCGGCTAACAATAACATAAACATGAGGCATTGTTTTCTCATCAAGATATAACTCTTGTGTAACTGGTGTCCGGTTTGTTTTTAATGAGATACAAAAACAATCTCATGCCACTCTCTGTAAAGGCAAGTTTATTGGTTCCCGGGAGGGAATTCATTGTTTCCTGAAGGGAAAAGCTGGTTCCAAAGATGGAATTAGGTCATTGGTTGCCACGAGAGGTACATGCAGTATTTCGGGCTGTTTGGCTGCAGAAATCCCTCGGCCGTCATGTTCGACAAAATCTTGGCGACTCACACTCAGCGACGTTTTTGAAGTCCAAACTGTGTTTGAACCTTCAACACCCCTGAAAAACACTTTACAAGAAAAGATGGGACATAATACTTGAATGCTTTGCCTAATTAATACGCAAAAAGTAACAAGAAAACATGGCAAATCTTACCTTTAGTCGACAAGACGTAGAGCATTCACCATTCGCGGTAGGGAACACGAGGAGAAATGCAACGTTGCGAAACGTTCCACAGTCGATATTTTTACGGAAAGAGATCGCACTTTTACGGAAAGTGGTCGGTGAATCGGCTTGTTACACTAGTATTTATGTATTTGACACAAAAAGACGTACTACCAGATTCAAAGTAAGAAAAGCTCCAAACAATAAGTTTGTTTGTGTTTTTATAACCTGTAAAGTCTATCGAAATTGGATGCTTATCAAATTTACTACCGGCATTATCGTGCGCCAAGAAAATCGATCGTGATCCGAAGGTCTCCGAAAGCCCTCGTAAAATCGACTCTATCCATCAAAACGATAGCATTGTAGCTATTCGCGCATGCACAGTAGCTACAAAAATGGTAATAGTTTAAAAAATGAGATGTACATCAAATAAAAACTAAGAATCTAAAATGACTCAAATTATAACTGTATATTAATAACATACAAGTATGTTATTCTAGAGATACTAAGTATCACTGATTAAATTAATAGGTAGAGATCTCGTTTCCTCAGTAAAACTAGATAAAGAGGCGGCTTCCCTTAGTGACAGATCAAATGGAATTCCACTCATTTGCGGCAAAGAGCTCATTTAGAGCTTAATGAACCATACTAAGGCTCTGCTCACAACTGCTTGGTGCCAAGGCAGGTATACATTGCCTAGTAAGTACGCACTAACTAGCTCTCCTCAATTCAGATTCCTTCATCTTCAGGGAACCAGTGGCAGAAAATGACATAAAAAAATGATACATGTGACATGGTCGAGGAAAAGGTGAGCGTATTTGGTCAAGTAAAAGAGGAAAGATTGGTCAGATTCCTTACAGGCAGAGTTCTTTAGAATAATATTTTCCGATTTTCCGTATCCCGCTAATTGTCAGTCTCAAATCCCTGCTCAAATAGGGTAAATCCTGACCAAAATAACCTACTAAGTGCCCTCTTTACGGGCGCTAACCATTTAATACAGGTTTTACTAACCAAAGGTAAATACCCTGGTAAATACAAAAGAAGATGTTGAGTGGGAGAAATATCCACTGCAAGACGAAATAGCCCATAGAGGGTTTTGCTGTCTACTTGTGCCAAAAGAAAAGAAATTAGAGGCCATTAGTGGTCATATGAGAATCTATTGGAGCGTTTCATCCACCTTCCACCGGTTTTTACCTTGCATTTTGGTTCACTTAACACATGGATACAGGCTACGAAAAAGCGGGGGCGCATATTTACCTCATTCGCTCGTAATTAAGGATGTGAATACAGGTCACACTGCCCTAATCATTCCTATTCAAGACCATTTCAGGCTTATAACCAGGACAGTGACTCGACGAGTATCTTCTCTGGTGCATCAAAATCCACCCAACGTTTCCTATTGATCACAATGCGGGTTTTCTTGTGCCTCGTATTGTTGGTAATTATTGGTGAACTTGTTTATAAAACAATGTGGAAAGCAAACAGAAGGGTTGAGAACAATCAAGGTTAGTGGAATAGGGCGTATATTTTATTCCTTTTTATCGACTGGAATTTCATGTATGCCAAGTGGAACTGTATCCACACAATAACAGCATATTAAATAGAGGCAAGACCACAGCGAGAAACCGTTGAGTACAAATATTGCCGAATCACCCAATTGTAGACTTGGATCAGTACAAGTACCTTCCGGTATACAAAATATATAAACGAAAAAACAATGAAGAAGTGAACAATATAAGGAAAAATGGTAAAACAGGAATATTTCAAGACATTTGCCCGATTTGTCTGCTTTTCTGCATGGCTCTAGGAAAAAATACCTTTCACTAAATGAGTTCACAGTCGGTACTGTGAGTTAAAACCTGGTGTAGATATGATCGAAACGATGTATTGAAAACAGCAGTTCAGGTGTGAATAGGGTATGATAAACATCTCATATTAGGATGGGAGAGCAAGGTTCGCGCAGCGGCCAGCACTAATGTGGCCCGGGCTCAAGTCCACCCTCTAACGGCATATGTTGGGTTGAGTTTGTTTTTGGTTCTCTCCCTTGCTCCAAGAGGTTTTTCCCCGGGTACTCGGGTTTACCCCTTTTCTCAAAAACCAACATTTCCAAGATATTCCAACACACCCCTACCGATTATACAAGATTATCTCCCCGGGAAAGCTTTTGTAATTCTCCTTAAACAGTAAGAATTGGATTGACCAATCACGCCTGTTTTTAAAATGTGGATAAGGGCCTCTCAGTTTTCAGACTCAGTTGAAATCGTTTCACGTAGATGGGATGAAACGAACGATTATTAAAACAACTACATAGTAACCATTCTCCAGTCAGCCTGCGGAGCACCGTTTAAAGGAAAGAGGAAGGAGAACTTAAGACGCCGGCCCATCACGTTTATTTCGTAGCCGCATATGTCATCAACAGTCTACTGGGTAGCTTATTTTTCGTGCGTACAAAATGATTTATTATTTCTCTTGTAGATGAAATTAAATTGAACTAAAGGATCTCAAAGTTCAGTCGAATTCCGGCAAAGACAACCTCAAGGATATTGAGGATAAACTGGGACAGTTAGTTCGAAACCGCACAGAAACTCTTGCTGCGTAGGCTATCAGAGGCTCAAGTTGAGTGCTCTAATAAAACTAGCAATAATGGGCCATTTCAGAGCACTTTCAAAACGAGGCAAGTGCAAAATCTTTCTTGTGAAAATGAGTTTTATTTGCATGAGAATAAAACATCATTTTCATATCAATAACTTTTTCGCACTCATCCTCGCTTTGTAAGGGCAGTGGATATTTCCCTCTCCCCAGCTCTTCTACAACACCGAAGAGGCCAGTGGTGTGCGTAGCCGGTCAGCTCCAGTCAATGTTATGTTTGTTCGACATACCGCTCTATTCCGCCACTTTACTGATATTGAATCAGCAATGGAAAAACTAAAAAAGAAACGGAAAATCGTATTTGGGGGAAACCGGCCACCCCCAATTTTCATTTTCTATGATCATACGACAATCATTGCGGCAGAAGCCCATTTTATACCGTACCCTAAATTTGTTGAGACGCTGCTTTCAAGAGCAATACAAAGGCCGAAAATGACTGTGAAAATCACTCCTGACGAGGGTTTCCCGCATTTGAGTAATACAGTGACAATATTTTTGGAAAATTCCGAAAAATTCCATGACGATTTTCGAGACGTCTGACTCGTAAACTCTAATCAGACCAGGACGTTTTTCTAGTTCTTCCAAGACCTGCGGCTGAACTCCTGCTGGTAATACTGAACTTGTAAGGGCTAATACTCAAGTTCAAAAATTGTTAAATCTAAGGCGTAAGCGTTGTTTCGACTGGTTGAGAAAGATGCTATCCTTTTTAAAAGAGTTTCGTAACTCACGTTTATAAAATCTTTATCATATACAGTCACATGCCTCAGTACTAAAAAAGGAACGTTTAGGAGCAATATAAAAACGATTTCAGTGTCAGAATTACAACTAAATACAAAATCACAACTAGGACATAACTTCAAGTCGTTGAAACCTGACGCGCTAACGGACAAAACAGACTACGATAAATTATTTTAAATGGTCTCAGTCGTTGTTTGGAAAAATTCATATCATTATCAATCTGGTTGGTAAAGAAATTAGGTAACACCATAATACAACTGCGTGCTATTTGATTTCCTGTTGCGCAGTATCATGATCAGTGTAGTATTTTCACGTTTTAAGTACAAGAGTTAAGAAAAGCAGGAGGTGAATCCTTGACGTACGCATATGGAAATAAGCAGTACATTGCTCTTGCTCTACTTAGAGCCATAAAATACTAAGATTTTAGAGAACACTGTACTTGTACTAGTTTGCAATCAGTCAAAATAACACTAACATTGGGAGTTTCGTGTTTTGAACTTCCATCTTATAAGCGAATGTTGACATAGGATGACAGAGCCTCCCCTCCATTTTGTATCTTTCAATCACTGGGACCGTGCGGGATCCGTACCGCGTGCTGGACTAGTAGTGCTGACTCCACCACTTAATCCCTTAGCATAGATTTGCTCCTTAACAACAGCCAACGAGAGTGTATCATTTGGAAGGGGTAATTTTAAAGTGGTCCAGCTGTTGAAAGCGGGATCACATCTTTCTGTTCCAGCATTTCTTCTCCGAGGAAAGCTATACAGCTGATCACGGAATTTTATTATCTGTGTCGTGTGGTTTCGGTCCTTTGATTATCTGTCTGCTAGTCGCTTCCATTCATCTTTCTGGGGAAGGTAACAGTAAGCTGTCTTGCCTCTGTTATTTGCAGTGTGTCAGTTTAGTTTGTTCAGCAGTCCTCTGGTAAGTTTAAGTGTACAGCCTTTAAATGTAGGTTTTTGTTTCTCAGAGTTCTGTTCTGCAGGAATGGAGGACTTAAGGATCCACTTATTGACTTTGGCATCATACTCTTCAACTGTGAGCTCTGTTGTTCGTTCATAAAATTGATTATTTAAACCACCTAACACATATAGTATTCCGTTTAGGTACACCATGCTACCATACAAGTGTTGAGAATTCAACCCTTCAATGGCCTGCCATTCATCAGTGGAAATCTCATACACTGCACAGTTTAGGCCATCAGTAACAAAAATCCTCTCTTGAGTAGCCACACCAAAGGGGCGATTCAATCTTGTTGACATCGAGGCAATTTCTTCCCATTTTTTCCCTACTACATCAAATCTGCCAGCTTTATCACTATATCCACCACCAAGCACATACAGACAGTTGCCACAGGCAACAACACAAGAGTCATCACTGTAGTGGAAGTCCTGAGAGGATGAAACAGTCTGCCAAACACACAAATCTACATCGTACCTCGTAATCACAGGGTTTGATCCATAACGACGGTGTATAGCGTGGATCTGTCCGTTAACAACAGCTAACGAGTGTTCTGCAAAAGGAGAAGAAAACGTCACTGTTGCCCAGCTGTTGAAAACAGGATCATATCTTTCAATCCCGTTACAGGTACTCCGAGGAAAGCTATACAAATTATCACGGAATTTTATCATCTGCGTAGTTTGGTCTCGGGTATCTGATACTCCGTCTGCTAATCGCTTCCACTCATTTTTCTCAGGAAGGTAACAGTAAGTTTTCTTCCCCCCACGAACTGCAATGGTGTGCGTTTCAAGCCTTCTTTTTGCCGCCTGCATAAGGGTTTCGTCGCTTGCACTACTAACGAACTTAATAGCATCCAGAACCTGCCTCAAACAAGGGCCACTCTCGCGCACCAGATCATTCGTCACGACATCAACTTGCAAATAGTCACGCGATAGGGAAACCAGTCGAATGTGACGAAACAGCTGCTCGAATTTTGCTTTACGCTCGTTTTTCTGTTCAACCCACTTTAGAATGACTCTGAACATGTCTTCTTCAGCTGCTACACGAATGTTTTCACTTGAAATCCATTCCTCAACCTCTTCAGCTTCTAGGTTTAAGAATTCATCTGTTTCTGCCACAGATGCGAAGTTGTCGTGAATGAACTTCGTACTGTTTGCAACAAGTTCTTCGCAGCGATATTTCCGAGCAAAGCGAAGAGTTGAAATACAATTTTCGTTGGTCAATAATTTCTCTAGAAACCGCCCTGAGCGGGTTTTCAGACTCACAAGAAGTAAATATTCCGCTGCCATTATCTGTTCCTTTGCAGTTTCTTCATCTTTTACTTCGATACTGCCAGTGTAGATGAAGTGCAACACATCTGCTAAGATAGACTCCGAAATCTCTTCAAATCGAATGATTCCTTGTTCTTTTTCTTTCATATCACTCTTAAGAAGCTTCACAAAAAACGGACTCACCGCCGACAGCACATTTTTATGGGCTCTGAATTCCTTCCCTTCCTTCGCCACCAAGGTAATGTCGCACAAATAATTTTCTCCTCGTTGCATGTGAAGTCGCCTCAGCAATTCCACACAGAACGAACTCTGTTCAGCGTCACGGATTGGTTCTAAATCTTCCATTTTTGCGTTTCTAGTTTGACTGAAGTCGATGCAAGAACTTTGTTTAATTACGTGGCTGAATCGAATGCAAATTAGCACTGGCAAATAAAGATGAAAAGGAAGCGAATCCTGCGTTCTGATTGGCTACCCTAGAGGGACAGAGATGGGGTGCCCAATCTTGCCCGCTTAGTATTTCCCCAAGTTGGTCCCAAAAGAAAAAGATCTCCTTTTGGCCATCTGATAAATCATTTATTGACCAAGCTAGCTGGATATTTGCCTCGTTCTTTTTTTGCGTTTTTATTGGACTTCGTCTCTGTCAATAAAAACACAAAAAAAGAAGTTGGCCAATATCCAGTGATCTTGAATGTATCCTTTTAAGAAAATATATGCCATCGTGTGACGACAGAAACTGTGACACAGTTAAATTGTCAGGGGGTTGTGGGGGCTGAGGATAGAAAGAGCACCATGAGGACTAGGTTGGAAATTTCATAATAACGCCCTCTTGAGAAACTCCAAGTTGTGACCCTACCCAAGAGCCCCCAAGAGAACTTGCTATCGGGCTGTTATCAGAAATTCGGCTGACCAGCACGCTTACAATATGCCTCTAATCCTTGAAATTGTGTTGGTTATGCAGGGAGGACAAATGAGAAAACAAACAAACAAACAAATAAAAACAAGCACAAAACAAACTGGCAAATAAATAAACAAACAACAAATGTACTCAGCCTCCTTCAGCTCGTTCAGTAAGCTCATATTTGCTATACCTAAAAACAGTTTCTTATTTTGTTAACTGTGAATATGCCCCGTGTTTCCTGTCTTGGGCGGGAACGTTAACTACTGGCAGCTCCAAGGGAAATGCCCACTACTGGTAGCATAGTTATCATTATGGCCAGCGTGTTCCATCAAAGGTGAGGAAAACACCAGAGCACTATATCAGTTCAGCAGCTTCTTTTTTTAACAATGTCTTATAGATGTTTTACAAAGTTATTTTTCTTAGTCTGTTGACTTGCAGTGATCGTCATCAGTGGTGGAATAAATATGCCCCTCATTACTAAGCCACTCTAATGTACTCCTGAAAATAATAAAAGAAACTTTTTCAGCAAAATAATGAAAGAACAAGACAGAACAATGAAGGACAAACACCTATTCACTAACTGAAATCTCACTGTAAAACACTCTTAACAACCTCAAGCTGACAACCTCATGACCAGGTGTCCACTTATGCAAGCCCTAGGATTTCAAATCCCTGGAAAACAATTTTTCAGTTTCATGCCCAGAGATCATGAAAAACTATCTGTAACAATTTTTTGGTTCCCTGAAAATTCATAAGAACCAATCTCCTAAATCTTTTCAATTTTTCAAAGTCACATTTTTTTCTTGGCACTGGAAGCCATAAATCAGTAATGTGCAATGCACTTTGGGAACGATTGAAGATGGCAGACAACAGAAAAGTGATAGATGCTAAACAACATTTTAGTTTCGTATAAAAGCCGATTCATAATTAAAGGATTGCTCTACTGGTTAAGAATCTGGGTGGAAAAATAGTGTAAACTGATCCCTTAGGCTGAAAATGTCACTGGGAAACTATTTTTCTCTTCCGATATTAAAGGCCACGGCAACGACACCGTGCCGAAAACGATCATTACTGTCAAATCCTTGAGCTTGTTATGGAAGGTTGGATAAATCTCAAGAAACTACAAAGAGCCACAAAGAAAAATTTGAATAGAACTATTTCAATTTAAATTCGAACTTGGTTCCGATACTTAAGGGAATAAAATAATTAACCCTGGATTTGCACTAATCACTGAATGAGCAACTCAGCTCAGATGTAGAACACAAAAGCTATGACAGAGCATACCTGATCTGTGTATCTGATACTCCTCTGAGCTTCTGTTTTATTTCAATAAAACCCATGCCTTGCTCACTTCGGCATCTTTTAATCATAGTTTGAATCTGAAACAGAAAGGTGGAATATTATTAATCAGTTTTCCTAGTCTAAAGTCCTACTTATTAGTCTTTGTCAACCAACCCTTGCTGCTTTCTGTTTACCAAAAATCTTCGGAAATTTTACATCAAGAAGAAATGTTTTCTGTTTTCCTTACAATTATTAGTTATGAAGATTAGGTATACAAGAAGAAATGAAAATGACAGAAAAGGAATTTAAGAGCGACGGTCAGGAAATATCGACCATCGAGTGGCAAGAGTTGAAAAATCTATTTCCTTCATTTTTTGTCCATAAATAGCTTTTAGGTAGATAAGTAATCTGATGTAAGTTGTTCTCGCAAAAAGCCTTTTATTTTCGAGAAAAGTAAGAATATCAGTTATCGTGGTCGGAGTCTCAAAATGACGGTATTTTCAACCCGAAATTTGCTAAGATCAACTCTCCTCGCATTCGCAAATAAAGCCTCAAGGAGAAATTTGGACACTTTCTATCAATAAAGCAACTCTTCTTCTTTCACTAGAAGATACTTTCAAAGCAATATCAAGACTCGTTGAACTGACATAATTAAAAAACGACGAAAAGGTTTTTACGGTGACAAAAAGTTTCATTTAGTAGTTGTTTCTTCATGTGGTATAGCTCCAAATTTTCCCAGTCCTCGTTTATTCACACATTTAGACATTCATTTAAAGCATACCTGAGAACTGGCTTAAGTTCCTGAAGGCAGGCTCCAAACGAAGGCATCGAAGTCCCGTAAATATAGTGAAACGTGGCCAAAGTAGCTTATTTAACGGCTCCAAGTTTCCTCGATCGTAAAGAGACAAGACGAAATATCTTCCTGTTCCGTCATCCTTAGCGAATTACCGTTGTTAAAGTCCTTATTTTTCGATAAAAAGTGAGTACCAGAATACTAGCGCGTTTGAATTTTTATTCTTCAAAAATAGAAGAAAAATAGACGCCATCTTATAAGCTGATTCGGTTGCAAGGCTGAGGACCTAGTTGTAAACGTTTTGCGTGGGGTGTGAGAGTTGGATTCGCCGGTGCGAGGCATGGAACGTTGAATAGACGAAGCTTTGTGATCACCTCTGCCTCATCATGGGCACGTGAATACTATTCCCTTGTCAAGTTTTCGGTCAAAACCCGATTAGTTATTCTAATTGAAACTAGAAATACTTTTATCGCTGAACCAGGTAAGGCTTGGCGGAGGGTGCTCCGCAAAATGTTAGGGATGGGAGTTATACTTTCTTCAAAAACAGAATGAATACGTCTGAAGAGAAGACCTCCGATAACAAATCCAGCGTTGCATCTGGGAAATCGAACTCAGAAGCTTCCATACACTGTTTGGATGCTTTTATCACTGCGGTACTGGGAACTCGAGTTGTGAGTGATGGCTACTTGTAGGTTACCAGGCAACTACTGCATCAAATTACATGTATGTCAATGAACTTTGGGATGTTGGCTCAGGGGAGGGGTAGTTGGGCAGTTTCTAAGAATATCATAATGATCCAACTTCTCAAGTCAATTCGCATAAAGGATAATATTAATTACCGCGATGTCTTTTCTACGTACGTTCGTGAAACCAGTTTGTAAATTAAATCTCGTCAGCAACGATTCGCCTGATATCTACCAGCCACGTTTGCACTGTGTGCATTTCCCTTAACCTAAATTAATTCTTCTTTTATTTGTTATTGCTTCAAGTGAACCTCTGGTCTAACCTTAGCATAAATATAAAAAACCACCAGACGTCAGTTCCGACACCGCCTCTATATAAAGAAAAATGTACTACAGGTGTTATTACAGGTTTTGCTATAAAGGTTATGATCGTATTGCTACAATATAATCATCCTGACTTTCAAATAGTAACAAATATCAGTTATTTTCATTCCTTGACAGTCCTAGGCCTTGGCCAAACGTTGAACTTTTCAAGAGACGAACCAAACTCTAATTTGGGTCAAACCTAAATTAAGTTTAAGATCGTCTGTTGGGTCAGACTTCGAACTTAGGACGCGTCGAACCAATCAACTGAATACAAATTTTTTATTTACTAGTTTAGAAAGTCGCATGTGAAGACAATCTTCAGACGTTCTATCGTTCTGAAGCCGACGGAGAGACGATCCAAACTCATTCAGACCAACGTAACTGACAGAGCCAGACGTCGAACTTTTCATGGACTTAACCCAGTTTAAATTTGTTTTGTCTAATGAAAAGTTTGACGTTTGCCTAGGCCTTAGGTCCTTGATGTAGAACCCAAGTCGTCCTGATAATCAGACTAACAAACTTCTAAAAATAGCTACATTTTCAAGTTAGTATATTTTCATTTACTCGGAAGCAAGCAATTTAGATAAGTTGCACTCTAAATCAGAAAGATCTGTTTTAGCCCTAAAAACAGGGCCGTTTCGGTGAGTAATATACAGTCCTATTTTTGGGTCGAATTTGGCTCCCTTAAATCAGGGCCAATACAGTCCAATTAGCTGGGGCTGATTTGGTCCCAGGGCTGAAATGGGCCCTACCATGGGCTGGAATAACCTTTTGATTGAGCTCTTTTGGCCTAAATTGTGCTCAAATGGCTCCAGGAAGGGCTGAATTGACACTTTGGGGCTGCAACAGATCTTTTTAATTTTCAGTGTGTGCTTAAGTCTAAAATTAGACTGTGGACAAAAGCTTCCAATTTGACCCTTACGTCTATTTTACAAGTTTTACTAAAACTATTTACAGTCCGATGGCTGCTGCCCTTGCAACTGCGTTGGAACAAAAAGCCTTGAAATTTTTCTTTTTGAGATTTGTGAAAACAAAAACTATCCAGTAGATGTGAAACAACCGTACACTGGTTGAATCGTTTTTCTCCATGTTCAAAATGTACGTATTCTCTATTAAAAAACAATGTTTTGTAAATCAATCAGGCTGTTTAGGTTGTTTTTGACAATGGAGTATAATTTTTAATTGTTGCCTCTCGAAGAATCATTCCCTGAAGAATTTTTAAATGAAAGGCTGTAGCAGCACGTGACCAGCTGATGAAGCCTATAAATACAACAAGGTGAATTCAATTATACCCACTTTAGCCCACTCATTTTCTTGTCTTTGAGCCGTTTGTGTGAACCTGAAATACTCCTTTCACACGAGGCAAAGATCATATTATTTTGGTGCGGGGTGTGGGGGTGAGGGGTGGGATAGACTTTCTGGGGAGAGACTCTCCAGAAGAAAGAGAAGATAATGGGATTCCCTTAGACTACTCTATCCTTTGTTTCTGTTACCAGTGGGCCCAGTTGTTCGAAGGCTGGTTACGCTAACCCTAGGTTAAATGTTAATCCAGATTTTTTTTTCTTTTGTTCAAAAAGCATTTTCCCAGATAAAAAAACTGTATTCTTTTTGAAACATCCAATGATCGACTTGTTGACAAAAAATTAAATTGAATTTTCTTTTTAAGCTTCAATATCTGAATTCAAATTTCACACTAACCTTGGGTTATCTTAACCCAACTTTGAACAACCTGGCCCAACCGACTCATAGCTAACACATTAGCGTCCATTGCATTTTCAGTTTCAGTTCATGCATTGAATTTCCTCAGTCCCAACAAAGGCAAAACGAAAATATAAAGAAGATAAAGATAAAGGGAAAATTTGTATCGTTCGAGACACTTCACCTCACTCATCCTTCCTGAACAAAAACACATTTCCATCTTAAATGTTATAGAATTGTCTTTTTCATCTAGTCAATTTTTATTATTGTTGGTTTCTTGAGCAATCCTTTAGAAAGTTTCAACGTAGAGCATTGAAATGAATAAGTTTCTTCCTCAGAGCTCTTGTTGATAGGTATGGAGGTCTTCTGGATCCACTTGTTTAGTTTGGGATCATAGCTTTTAACTACAACCTCAGATGGCTGTGACGAATTATTTTCAGCAGTACCCAATACATAAACTGTTTCGTTAACACACACCATACAACATGAAAAAAATCTGGTAAAGTTCAAACTTGGAATGGTATGCCACTCATTTGTGGAAACCTGGTACACTTCACATTGCTGGCCCCCTGCAGCACTGACAAAAATCCTCTCTTGAGTAGCAACACCACAGGGACTGTACTTTGAAATTGGCATAGATGCAATTTCCTGCCATTTGCTTTCCGCAGTATCAAACCTGCCAGCTTCGTTACTATATCCACCACCAAGAACATAGAGACAGTTGCCAAGAGCAACGACACACGAGTCATCTCTGTAATGGAATTCCTGAGAAGATAACAGAGTCTCCCAGGTGCACAACTCTTCATTGTATCTTTTAATCACAGGGGCGGACGTGCTGGAATGGTGGGCTCGACGCGACCGAATGCGGTATATAACATGGATTTGCCCATTAACAACAGCCAACGAGAATGTCTCATTTGGAAGGGACAACTTTAATGTGGTCCAGCTGTTAAAACCAGGATCATATCTTTCCGCCTTCTGGGCATATCTTCCAAAGCTGTACAGGTGATCACGGAATTTTATTAACGGTGTAGTGTGGTTTCGGTCTTCTGATAATCCGTCTGCTAATCGCTTCCATTCATCTTTCTCGGGAAGGTAACAGTAAGTTTTCTTTCTCCCACGTACAACAATGGCGTCTGTTTCAAGCCTTCTTCTTGAAGCACATGTCAAAGAAAAATGTCCTGTTACCAGTTCATTTGTCACGACATTAGAGAAAAAGGAGTCATGCGAAAGCAAGACCAGTCGGACATGACGAAAAAGCTGCTTAAACTTGTCTTTTCGCTCGCGTTTGTTTTGCTCGACCCAATTAAGAATGATTCTGAACACGTCTTCTTCAGCTGCAACCAAAATGTTTTCACTTGAAATCCACTTCTCAACTTCTTCGGCTTCTAAGTTCAAAAATTCGTCTGACTTTGCTACGGAAGTGAAGTTGTCTTGAATGAACTTTGTACTACGAAGAACAAGTTCTTCACATCTATATTTCTCGGCAAAGTAAAAAGTTGAAATGCAGTTACCGATGGTCATTTGCTTCTCTACAAATCGCCCGGAGATAGTTTTTAAAGACTCGAGCAGTAAATAGTCGGCTGCGATTATCAGATCTTCGGCATTTTCTCCATTTATCTCGACTCTTCCCATGTAGATGAACTCCAAAACATCTGAGAGGACCGATTTCGAAATCTCTTTTAACCGAATGACTCCTTCCTCTCTCTCTTTCATCTCGCTCTGAAGAAGCTTTGAAAAAAACGGACTCGCCGCCGATAGTACGTTTCTGTGGGCCTTAAACTCCCTCCCTTCTTTCGCTACTAAGGTTATGTTGCAGAAATGGATCTGTTGTCGCTGTATGTTGAGTCGCTTCATCAGTTGCACACAATACGAAGATTGTTCAGTTTCATTGATGGGTTCTAAATCTAGAAGAGGCCGCTTGACTGAAAAACTAGATTGATTTCTTGCCACATCGACACAGACATCACAGACGTCATGCAGGATCTGTTTCTCACAAATCGAACTTGAAAGTTCCATACTAAATTGAATAGAGACCGCGTCTTCCGAAATTTCAATAAAAATAGCGATAATAGGCCATTTCCGGGTTGCAAAAACTTTCTCTTTCAAAACGAGACTAAGTGCAAAGCCTTTCTTGTGAAAATGAGTTTTATTTGCATGAGAATAAGAGTCATTTTCATATCAATGGCTTTGCATTTAGCCTCGCTTGGAAACAAAACTTGGGGCAACTTGGAAATGGCTTATAAAAAAACTAGTATGCGCACGCGGTACGGTGGGCGATAGGAAAAAGGAAAAGGCGAGAGTCTCTCTTAATGTCTTTCTCCTTCCCATCGTTCACTACGCCCTTTCATTTCCCCTCTCCCCCCAATCTCTTACCCAGAGTCTTCTCGCTCTCCTACGACACTTGGCCAGTGGTGTGTGTAAAAACGCGGGCGCATAAAACGTCCGGTAAGACCGGTAATGTCCAGGCAATGTTACAGCAAGGATCTAGATCGTCTGAGACCGGGCGCTGAACTCTTGGCCTCGGTGTTCAAAGGCTGGATAGCGCTATCCACCGTGGATAGCGCTATTCAACGTTTGAACTACCGGGGCCTGAAGAAAATCGTTCGTTTCACCGAGGAATTCATTATATAGAGGTTCGTTAAATCGAGGTCCACTGTACATGTATTCAGAAGTTCGGTATCCAGAATGGCCCCCATTGTGCTTAATCACTTTCTGTAACAGTAACGGCATGGTAGTCATGAAGCATACAGAGCCTCAGATGATCTATTTTGAGATTTTTATTGCTTGGTATGCAGAAGGCACTTCGATCCCCAAACAATATCATTTTTTTAGATTAGGTAGCTGAAACAAATCTTTTGGTTATTCATCTGAAAAAAGATCATCATTCCAGCCTCTTTCCACCGTAACGCTTTTGTATTTCGTTACATGAAATGTTACATAAACCTGTTCCGGACTTAGCTTCCAAATTATTGAGAGCGACAGGTAGTCGTCGAATTTCATCCTTTGTACCTAGCCTATTTTTTAAAACTATATTAGCTGCTTCATATATTTTTTATGATAAGACTTTCGGTCTTCTCCTTCCTTTCTTCTCTTTAAAACTTTCATTCCTCGATGACCATTTTACAACCCATCACAAAAAAGGAAACAGTTTGAGCAATTCGGGCTACAAAATACAAAGCATATTTGGCGGGAAACTGTACACGCGCTCGCGCACCTTTGGCCCGAAAATACACAAATCAAAGATAACGCAAGTATGAAATATGAAGGAGATTGGGATTTTCCCAACTTTGTCCGTAGTATATTTACAAAATACGAAAATCAGGTTTTTTTAAAAAGAAAAATTGATAAATACCACATCTATTCGTCCAGCATGATCTACGAAAATGCATTTGTACGTTCCAAAAATAAGCACTTTGTGCCAGCTTTGCTCAGTTTTAACCGACTTAAGAGACAATGGAATGAATTAGGCGACAAATGATTTGGCTAAATCTGGCCAATAAAAAAATCTGGTTGTGGCAATTTGAATTGAATCAGTTTATATCTCAATTGGACAACAACAAAACAAGAAATCTAATCAGATCGACATATATTACAAAACGAGGTCAAACGTGGGGCGACAAAAAACGCCCCTCCTTAAAAAAACAATCTGCTACATACAGAAGTAAAAAGCGAGAACGGGACGGTGATAGGGGAGGCGGCAGGAAAAAGGTTTCTTCAATTCCGCAGGTATCAATGGCGAAGATAGAAGGACAAATTATCTGAGCGCCTCTACTCTTATACACACCAAGAACTGTCCTGTAACTAAGCCTGCGAAAACATCCCTTTCTCCTCGCTCTTCGCCGCTGGGGACGTCTTGCGCGAAACGCCCCCGGCGGCGAAGAGCGATGAGAAACGGAGGTTTTCGCAGGCTACCCTGTAATCTTCTTTTGGTCAATCTTCGATCCTGGTACAAACATCCCCGCGGGTTATCTGTTCACATACCTCGACATAAAAAAGACATTTTGTCTAAACATAATGTTTGTCTTTAAACTAAAAATAAAAATTGCAAGAAGAAAGAGAGAATAATAGAATCCCTGTGATCTACTATATCTGCTGCTACCAAAAGCTAACACATTTAAGTCCATTATTCTTGACAATTCTTATACTTCTCTTTTTCAGTCCTAAGAAAGGCAAAATGGAAAAAGTGAGTCTCCAGAGAAATGGAAAATATCCGAAAAATATCACTTATCTTTGCTGAACAAATAACATTTTCTACAGTAAATGGCCGTATTTATACTAGCAGACGTCTTAAACGTCCAGACGCATTAAACTTCAGACGTTTTATTCGTCTGACGTTTAATGCGTCTGCCTTATTTCCCGTATTTATACTAGACGTCTAAGTCACTTAGGGGGTCTTAGACGTCCTCTAGTATAAATACGGCTAATAGTATAGAATTGTCTCTGTCAGTTAATCAATTGTATCTATTTTTGGTTTCTTGAGCAATCCTTTAGGAAGTTTCAATGTAGAGCAGCGAAATGAATTTTTTTTAATCTCGGAGCTCTTGTTGATAGGTATGGAGGTCTTCTGGATCCACTTGCCTAGCTTTGGATCATAGCTTTTCACTACAATCATCTCGTCTGGCTGTGACGAATGACCTCTCAGGCGTTTCTGTTTAGACAGTGTAGCAATACCCACTACATAAACTGTTTCGTTAAGACACACCAAACTAACCAAACGAAATCGGGTAGCGTACTTGCAATGGGTTGCCACTCATTTCTTGAAACCTCATACACTGTACATACGGACGTATCACAAACAAAAATCTTCCCTCGGGTAGCCACACCAGAGGCATTGATCATCAGCTTCGGTTGCATAGATGCAATTTCCTCCCACTTCCTTTCCGCAGTATCAAAACCTGCCGGCTTTATCACTAAATCCGCCGCCAAGAACATACAAACAGTTCCCAACAGCAACAACACAAGAGTTATCACGGTAGTGGAAATCCTGAGAAGATGTCAGAGTCTCCCAGGCGCACAACTCTATATCATATCTTTCAATCACGGGGGCGGATTGATCGCGGTATATAGCATGAATTTTCCCATTGAGGACAGCCAAGGAGACTTTCTCAAAAGGAAGGGGTAACCGTAATGTGGTCCAACTGTTGAAAGCGGGGTCATATCTTTCTGTTTCAGCATTTCTTCTCCGAGGAAAGCTATACAGCTGATCACGGAATTTTATTAACGGTGTAGTGTGGTCTCGGTCTTCTGATAATCCGTCTGCTAGTCGCTTCCATTCATCTTTCTCGGGAAGGTAACAGTAAGTTGTTTTCCCTCCACGTACTACAATGGCGTGTGTTTCAAGCCTTCTTCTCGCCGGTTGAATTTGAGCATCCTCAGTTGCAGCACTAACTGACTTAATGGCATCCGTGACCCGCCTCAAAATAGAAAAATGTTCTGTTACCAGTTCATTTGTCACGATATCAGAGAATAGAAAGTCACGCGAAAGCAAGACCAGTCGAACATGACGAAATAGCTGCTCAAACTTGTCTTTTCGCTCGCGTTTATTTTGCTCTATCCAGTTAAGAATGATTCTGAACACATCTTCTTCAGCTGCAACCAAGATATTCTCACTTGAAATCCACTTCTCAACTTCTTCGGCTTCCAAGTTTAAAAATTCGTCTGACTTTGCTGCGGAAGTGAAGTTGTCTTGTATGAACTTTGTACTGCGAAGAACAAGTTCATCACAACGATATCTCTCGGCAAAGAGAAAAGTTGAAATGCAATTGTAGGTGCGACATTTGCTCCTCTAGAAATCGCCCAGAGATGATTTTCAAAGACNACTTTGCAGCCAGGTAAAAAAAAAATGCTTACGTCATCTTATTTACGCACGGGCGTGCGTAAATAAAGATTTTGTTCATAGCGGCTCAATAGGACTTATATAGGGCAAGCACGCGCGCTATGTTATAATAACATTTTCTACAGTAAATGGCCGTATTTATACTAGCAGACGTCTTAAACGTCCAGACGCATTAAACGTCTGAGACGACTAATTCATCTGTTAAGTGCGTCGATCGGACGCACTTAACTTCAGACGTTTTATTCGTCTGACGTTTAATGCGTCTGCCTTATTTCCCGTATTTATACTAGACGTCTAAGTCACCTAGGGCGTCTTAGACGTCCTCTAGTATAAATACGGCTAATAGTATGGAATTGTCTTTGTCAGTTAATCAATTGTATCTATTTTTGGTTTCTTGAGCAATCCTTTAGGAAGTTTCAATGTAGAGCAGCGAAATGAATCTTTTTTAATCTCGGAGCTCTTGTTGATAGGTATGGAGGTCTTCTGGATCCACTTGCCTAGCTTTGGATCATAGCTTTTAACTACAATCATCTCGTCTGGCTGTGACGAATGACCTCTCAGGTGTTTCTGTTTAGGCAGTTTAGCAATACCCACTACATAAACTGTTTCGTTAAGACACACCAAACTAAACAAACGAAATCGGGTAGCGTCGATACTTGCAATGGGTTGCCACTCATTTCTTGAAACCTCATACACTGTACATACGGACGTATGAGAATCACAAACAAAAATCTTCCCTTGGGTAGCCACACCAAAGGCATTGATCATCAGCTTGGGTTGCATAGATGCAATTTCCTCCCACTTCCTTTCCGCAGTATCAAACCTGCCGGCTTTATCACTATATCCGCCGCCAAGAACATACAAACAGTTTCCAACAGCAACAACACAAGAGTTATCACGGTAGTGGAAATCCTGAGAAGATGTCAGAGTCTCCCAGGCGCACAACTCCATATCATATCTTTCAATCACGGGGGCGGATTGATCGCGGTATATAGCATGAATTTTCCCATTGAGGACAGCCAAGGAGACTTTCTCAAAAGGAAGGGATAACTTTAAAGTAGTCCAACTGTTGAAAGCGGGCTCATACCTTTCTGTCTCTGCATATCTACTCCCAGGAAAGCTATACAGCTGATCACGAAATTTTATTAACTGTGTAGTGTGGTTTCGGTCTTCTGATAATCCGTCTGCTAATCGCTTCCATTCATCTTTCTCGGGAAGGTAACAGTAAGTTGTCTTCCCTCCACGTACTACAATGGCGTCTGTTTCAAGCCTTCTTCTCGCCGGTTGAATTTGAGCATCCTCAGTTGCAGCACTAACTGACTTAATGGCATCCGTGACCCGCCTCAAAATAGAAAAATGTTCTGTTACCAGTTCATTTGTCACGATATCAGAGAATAGAAAGTCACGCGAAAGCAAGACCAGTCGAACATGACGAAAAAGCCGCTCAAACTTGTCTTTTCGCTCGCGTTTATTTTGCTCTATCCAGTTAAGAATGATTCTGAACACATCTTCTTCAGCTGCAACCAAGATATTCTCACTTGAAATCCACTTCTCAACTTCTTCGGCTTCCAAGTTTAAAAATTCGTCTGACTTTGCTGCGGAAGTGAAGTTGTCTTGTATGAACTTTGTACTGCGAAGAACAAGTTCATCACAACGATATCTCTCGGCAAAGAGAAAAGTTGAAATGCAATTGTAGGTGGACATTTGCTCCTCTAGAAATCGCCCAGAGATGATTTTCAAAGACTCAAGCAGTAAATAGTCGGCTGCGATTATTAGATCCCTGGCATTCTTTTCATTTATCTTGACACTTCCCGTATAGATGAACTCCAAAACATCTGAGAGGATCGGTTTCGAAATCTCCTCGAAACGAATAACTCCTTCCTCTTTCTCTTTCATCTCGCTCTGAAGAAGCTTTGAAAAAAACGGACTCGCAGCCGATAACACATTTCTATGGGCCTTAAATTCGTTCCCTTCTTTCGCTACTAAGGTTATGTCGCAGAAATAGGACTGTTGTCACTGCATGTTAAGACGCTTCATCAGTTCAACGCGGGAATTGTTATAATAACAAATTTAGTGAAATTCTTTGTCTATATACGTTCATCTTTCTTAGCCACTTTCCTCTTCTGTACTTTTAAATAAATTTACTTACCCTAGAATAGCCACTAACTGCATCTACCGACCTTTTGGTAGCCACTAACCTGAACACTTAACGGCTCCTTTCCGAGAGGTTTATAGTAAAAAAAGTCCTAACATAGCCAGTACTGAACTACTTAGCGGCTGCTTTTGGATCAGTTCATAGTCAATAGGTTTTAAGGTAGCCAGTAGTTAACTACTTAACGGCTTCTTTTGGATGGGTTTATAGTCAATAGGTGTTAAGGAAGCCAGTAGTCAACTACTTAAAGGCTACTTTTGGATCAGTTAATAGTCAATAGGTTTTAAGGTAGCCAGTAGTCAACTACTTAACGGCTACTTTTGCATAACTTTATAGTGAACGGGTACCAAGGTAGCCGGTAGTTAACTACTAAACGGCTACTTTTGGATCAGTTCATAGTCAATAGGTTTTAAGGTAGCCAGTAGTTAACTACTAAACGGCTACTTTTGGATCAGTTCATAGTCAATAGGTTTTAAGGTAGCCTGTACTCAACTACTTAACGGCTACTTTTGGATCAGTTCATAGTCAATAGGTTTTAAGGTAGCCAGTAGTCAACTACTTAACGGCTACTTTTGCATAAGTTTATACTGAACGGGTACCAAGGTAGCCGGTAGTTAACTACTAAACGGCTACTTTTGGATCAGTTCATAGTCAATAGGTTTTAACGTAGCCAGTAGTTAACTACTTAACGGCTACTTTTAGATCAGTTCATAGTCAATAGGTTTTAAGGTAGTCAATAGGTTTTAAGGTAGCCAGTAGTCAACTACTTAGCGGCTACTTTTGGATCAGTTCATAGTTAATAGGTTTTAAGGTAGCCAGTAGTCAACTACCTAAAGGCTACTTTTGCATAAGTTTACAGTGAACGGGTCCGAAGGTAGCCGGTAGTCAACTACTTAACGGCTACTTTTGGATGGCTTTCTAGTGAATGGGTGTTAAGGGAGCAAGAAGTCAATAAAGGGACAGAGACAGGGACAGAATCCAGACTGGACCTTAAGGCAGGCCGATTTGCGTTACACGCCACAACTCTCTGTCTCTCTGAAAAGCTTACCATAGCCTGGGAGCCTACGACACTTCGAGACACTAGTTGCCTTGTGGAAACCAAACATGCTTTATGCTTTTACGGTTGCCGTAGGTGAGACTTCAACGATACGTGTCTGTCACAGGCTTATGGTCTACATCTACATTTATTAGTTGACAACGCTTTCGCATCAAGTCAATAGGTATGTAAATGGTAAATGGTACTTGGTCACGGCGTTCGTAATTTCGAAATGTAGTCGAATTTTCATTATGGCCATTATACTGTAGTGTCTGGGAGCAAGATGTTCAAGTTGGATCTTCTCCCAAGTTTGCATATGTCACCAGGGAAGGTGATCACTGGTCTGTCGAAGAAACGAGATCAAATTTCACCACGTGCTCAATCTTTGATCTTATTAACGAGAAGAGCGCTCTTGAGTGGAATACTTCTACGTCCACTAAAGTAAACCTCTTCTTGGCAAGATATTTTCCTGTCCGAAGCGAGGAACGAGATCCTGAATTCATTTTAGACGATTAGGCAATGGATACATCGCCCATTGAGAGTATTACTTTCCTCGGCAAGGATCGTAGCGAGGTAAGTTACTGCTATGTACCATTTCCCCAAATTGCGCATTTTTTTGGACGTGAACTTTCAATCTATGGGTTGACTTAAGTGTGGTTGCTTGCTTTGGATAATCGTAGACTGCTATTGACAGGCGAAAGTAGCCCAAAACATTCCAGCCAAAAAACAAATGATGAGCACACAATGGCAGCGCCACATATATATCAGTTATATCAGTGGAAGTTTGACAAAATGAGTACGGTCTTGTCGAGGCAGCCAGATCATTAGTACCTAAAGAAGGATTACGAATTTACTTTCGAAAAATTCCACAGAAAGAACATTTTTACCAAGTTTATAGAGCTCTTTGTTTCATCCTCAAAAGACTTAATGTTATGTTTCCGGTAGTTTTGTCGGAGAGCGGAATGTACGTCAAGTTTTAGAAGTAATGTATCTTTTTCAGACTTCTTGTAATTTTGTTAATCTTCAAAGAATTGAGCTGCGCACGAGGTGGAGTATACACTTGCTCTGCGCGAAACTGTTACAGGGCAATTACTTAAAAAAACCGTCATCCTTGACATTCGCCGCCCTTCTTTAATCTCGGCAATCTCCTTCCCTTTTTAAGTCGTGATGATATTTTAAATGTCCTTCTAAATTAGAAAATTTTGGTGAAATGGAATGATCACAAGAATCTTTTTTCTCGTGGTAGGAGTTCGTCTGCGAGAGCAAGCTGAATGCTAATTGGCGAATAATAACTTAATAATAATGAGTGTTCAAAATAGCACAGGAATGCTAATCAACGCTAATTGTAATGAGCAATTTGGTAACTCTGAACGGGGTAATACAGCTTCAAGCAATTGATATTTCCCAAAAACTCACTCGAAATATTTTGGGAATGCTTGTGGCACGACCGATAACAGCAAAGGTCAGGAGACGCTAAAAGGGCACAAAACCACAAAATAATTTGTTACTTGCCAAGTACGTTATCAGTAGTTTTCACTCGGCAGATTGGCTTTTTTCCTGTTACATGCCAAAAACATTTCTGGTGTTCGCCACAACCCAGAACACTGTTCAGGGTTGTCGTAAAGTTTGTATTTTGGTCGAGGATCGAGGTGAGGGTAGAAGTCGAAGGTCGAGGGTAAAGTGTCGAACATGACGAGGGTCGAAAGTGACATTCCTGATAATTAAAACACCAAATTAAAAGGAAAAAGAAAGCAATAAAATAATTCGGTTTTTTTTATTCTCACGAGAACAAACACGTCTGCGCGTATGCCAGATGCGTGACATGTAGGAAATGAGGTTTCCGCAAAAGAGATCCCTACTGAAGAGGCAACTAACATACCAATCTCTTTTTGGTTCGCTGTTTGATTTCACTTTTAAAGATTATAGTCTTTGAGTAAATCATTTGGGCAGTCTAGCCTGCTGATTGTTTCTCCTAGGTGGTCTGAAAAGAGGGCGAAACAGTCCGATCGAAAATTCGGCCGGGCGTGTGCTTTTTCTCATTACGTGACAGGATACAATGTCATATTACTGACGGTTTATCTACTTGCCTAACTGAGTGGCTGAATTAATACTGACAAAACGCAAGAATTTTTCTGAGGCTTAGACCGGAACAATGAGCCTTATCGGTCTAGACAGATGACCAGCGTTCGTTCTGTTTGCTGTTGTTAGAAGTGCCAATCAATGTTGTTGTTGATGGCATCAGCGGGCCGAAGAACACGTGTTCTACTGTGCTACTCGTATACGGGTTTCAAAAAAGTCCTTAAGGTTAACCTCCACGTCTTCCTTCTCCTTTTCTTCGCTTTCGCGACAAATACGGAACCTGACCGCTCCACAGGTTTACTTAGAGGATGCACAACAACCACTTACGCAGTAACCCAGGCATAGTTAATTGATAAAAATCTATATAGGATATCAATCGACGTAATCCGCCGATTGATATCGGAAATCGATAGCGAGCGATGAAGTCTCAAGAACCAAGCAATGGTATTCTAGGAAAAACATGGTTCAGATATTACGAGCATGACGGTGCTTTTTGACAAACAACACTGACGTGACCGGCTTTTTTGACTTCAGCAAAATACTCCGCAACTACTCGAGGCGTAGTCTGCAAACGTGTTTGTTCTCTCGGCGCGAGAAAGAAGAAAAAAAGTCGAATTTATTAACCTCGTAATTAATTTTTTTTCTTTTTATTTCTTTTCCTTTTTTTCTCGTTGTTATAACCTTTGACATGTTTCCTCTTAACCTCGACTTTCGACCCCTGACTACACCAGAACTGACTCTTTTTGGTCAGAGCCTGCTTAGAGTTTCTCTCTATGCTTCAAATCCGTTCGATCAAATTACTCTCTATTGCTGTTTTAGTGTTTACGCAGTCAAGTAGCATGGAAACCCGTGTTGCAAAAAGCCTGTCTAGTGTTGTAATTACTGGTATATTGCTGTTAACAGGAATTTGAAGACCGTTTAAAGTGGAAGTATTGTAAGCTTTGTCAAGTTCAGGTACGTTAGGAAAGGAAAGGAAAGTTTTATTTTACGTGTTTGTTGCAGCTTCTTCTTATTGTTATTATTATTGTTATTATTATTATTATTATTATTATTATTATTATTATTATTATTATTATTATTATTATACTTTACAATCTCAGGCTGGTAATTAAATTACAAGAAATTACTACTTCTCTATTTTGTCCAGTTCTTTGTATTTACTCGTGCATCTCCGGGGATGCCAGTGTCTATGAATTTAGTATCCGTTGCCCGCTTATCAACGAAAATGATGTCCGGCCCTCTAGCCGGCTTCAACCATCCTATAACACTGTACATTGAAATCCCATAGAACTTTAAAACCTATTACTATTATTCTTATTGTTATTGTTTGTTTGATAGAATTTTCAGTTGTGCACTGTTGTAGTTGGGTATGGTAATGTCACCCTGCTAGCAGAGCCTTAATTTTGCTCGCTCGGTTTCGCTGCATTCTGCAATGACTCTGCGTCGAGGAAAAGTAAAAAAAAATAACGGGTGGGGGGAGGGGAGAGAGAGAAAATCCAAAAGAAGTAAGAAACAAAAAAAAAAAACCCCAAAGAATCACCGGACATTTCAATTCATGCATTCGTATTGGATTTATAAAGCCTGGCTTTTTTTTTCTTTTTGACAAAGCGCAGATGGCAACGACAATGAGTACTTCCACCCATGTCCAAGGTAAAAGACATCGACAGTTATTAGCTGTAAACCATAAAGATGGAATCGAAGAGAATTTCATCGAGAAAGGCTCCCTACCGACACTAAAAGCAGAAGTAAGTATTTCCCAAGCACGGCGTAATCAATCGCTAAGAAAAGGTAAAATGCTACATCAAATACCGTGTGGCACGAAATTTTTGCGGGTTCTACTTTTTGCGATTTTTCCAGCAATCCGCAAAAATTAGTTCCCGCAAATAAAAATGACCGCAAACATTTTTCCCGCAAAAATTTACTAGAGAGTATATATTCTCTAACTTAAATTCGCTACACAAAAATAAAGTACTTAGAAATGGTGTCTGTTCAATGACAACTTGTCTCTTTCAGTCAGAAACAAAACGGTATACAACGAAATACTGGTTTATTGTTAGAAAATACCAATCTGTCATAAATGCAAACTTAGTTCCCGTGAAACACAAAAAATCTTTAATCCGCGCAACAATAAACTCCCGCAAAAATTTCCTGCCACACGCTAGGTTACTGAGATGAATTTAGAAGAGCTAGCGTTTACAGATGTTTTTGTTGTTTAATTCATAATGTACTTGTCGCTATCCAGATCGAAATGATTTCACGGACGTCGCTGTATTGTTTGGTTTTAAAGCCTCTTCTTAAACATGTTTGTTAAAGTTATAAACAGCGTACTATGCAAAAGGAAATAAGACATGTCCAGTGTATTCCTCTCCTTTACATTCCAGGTGCGTCAAAAACCAAACAAGCCTTGCGGTTTCAACTGTGTCGACGACTTAGCTTCTACATTTGATGACCTAATAAAATGTGCAAAGTGGATGGATAGACGATTTCCACCTTGTTATGCCTCTGCTTCGAAAAAATCTCCAAAAACGTGCAATATGATTTACTCAAAATATGCCAATCTTCCTGGAGCCTTTAGACCTCGTATGACGCCGTCTGGACTCTGGGAATACAAACATTGTTATCTCAATGAGGGAAGAACAAAACCAGAACAAGGCGATGTTATGCTTCCCGCTGGAGGGGAAACAGAAAATGTATACATTGCCAGCGCAGACCTAGTTTTGGATAAAAACCCCTTTGATTCTGGGGCTACTTGCAGAATGTTCAAAGGTTCTCTGAAAAGGAATAGCGTTAGTCTAGATGTTGCTTGCAAAGAATACTTGGTAAAAATGACTTACAAATATAAACGCCGGATAGAAAAGGAAGTCAAGTGCTTAGTAAAGCTGAAACACTCCAATGTTTTGCAGCACTTTGGCTGGGATTTTGAAAGGTCAATGCTCGTCACCGAGTTCTTGTGTAAAGAAGTACGGCTTGGAGGTGGAGAAATTGAGTACGTCCACAATGCACGGCAACTACTGGACACCTTAGAAGGAGATTTACCATGGACACATCGGTTGGATATCGTTCAGAAAGCCTGTTCTGGCCTGCAGTGCCTTCACGAAAACGGAATTGTTCACTGCGATGTCAAAGCAGCGAACATTTTCATAGGGGGTGGCAAAGCTAGTGAATATGTGAATATGTCGTAAAATTTGGCGATTTTGGGCAAGCAAATTTTGATTTCGGTCAGTTTTCGCAGACCCAATACAGCAGTTTTGTATCAACTGGAAGTTCGAGTGAAAGAAACCAAGTTGGAACAGCGCCGTATACAGCACCAGAGTTAATCGAACTTGGCGCCAAAAGAAATTTTCCCAGTGATGTGTACAGCATGGGTATGGTTATGATAGAGTTTACGCTACCAGAGCGGTCCCATCCCTGGGAGGGTGAGGTATCTTCATCTGATCGAATTTTCCACCATGTGCCCTAATAATTGTTTAGTTTGTGAAACGAGATTCAGTGCAGACAATTTTTCGCTCTTCAATCTTATATGGAATATAAACTCCTGCTCTTGCTGATGCTCATGCTGTAAAGTACAATGCAAAAAATTCGAAATCCTCAAAAAATAGACACCCCTGGAAGCTTCTCTGTAATTTTTTTCCACGGGTAATAAAATAAAGCTGTCTCACGAGCGAGCACTACTTAGTATTGAGAAAATCTCGTTGTCGTCCCCGTCTTTAAATCCAAATATCTCTTGTGGCTACCTCAAGCTGGTCCGCTGAAAAATTAAACATTGTTCATTTTTTAACGTACCATTATAGTGATATCCTAAAGGTGTATTGCGGTGTGGCTGTCTCCAGTACAGGAATGTGATTTTACCATAATCATTAGGAGAAGTTATCACAATAGTCGTTTGCTTCATCCTGTTCACTTGAGTTGATTAACCGATCCAAAAGTAGTTATTGAGTATTTAACTACTGGCTACCTTTACAGTTATTTACTAATAAATCAAACCAAAATTTAACTACTGGCTACCTTAAGACCAATTCAATATACACAGTTCCAAAAGTAGCCGTTAAGTATTTAACTACTGGCTACCTTTACAGCCATTTGCTATAAACCAATCCAAAAGTCGCCGTGAAGTATTTAACCACTGGCTACCTTAGGACCGATCTTTGTTTATAGCCCAAAATTAGCCGTTAAATATTTGACAACTGGCTACCTTTACAGCCATTACCTGTAAACCTATCCCAAAAGTCGCCGTCAAGTATTTAATTACTGGCTACCTTAGGACCGATTGTTGTACGTAGCCCAAAAGTAGCCGTTGAGTATTTGACAACTGGCTACCTTTACATCCATTAACTATGAACCCATCCAAAAGTGGCCGTCAAGTTTTTAATTACTGGCTTCCTTGGGACTGATTGTTATTCATAGCGCAAAGGTAGCCGTTGAATATTTGACAACTGGCTACCTTGACAGCCATTTACAAACCTATCCAAAAGTCGCCGTCAAGTATTTAATTACTGGCTACCTTTGGATCCATTACATATTAACCTCTCCAGAAGTAGCCATTAAGTTTTCGATCATTGGCTACCATTGATAAATAACCAATTCAAAAGTAGCCAGTAATGATATAGGTTTTGTGGCTACCTTGTCGTCGGTATATATGTCCGATCCAAACGTAGCCATTATCTCATTTACTTCACGGCTACTCTTTGGTCGGTATAGGGTGAATACAAACAATGCCATTAAGTTCTGCAATCACGGCTACCCTTTGGTCGGTAAAAGAATAGAGAATACCGATCAACTAATTGGCTTCTGAAATCGTTCATATATATCGACGAAGTAAATGACAAATTTCGCCGTTATCTAAATGCCGGTTCAACGCAAAACGAAGATTGTTCAGCTTCACTGATGGGTTCTAAATCTAGAAAAGACTGCTCGACTTCGACTTCGACTTCGTCTTCGAATTCCTGGGGCTCTGCCTCATAAAAATCGCTTGAATCAGAATCTTCCATACTGAGTTCAATAGACACAGCGTCTCCCAAACTTTGGAAAATTTTAACCCAAGTTGACGGTAACGTTGGCAGAGTATACTCCTCTCACAGCATGCGTAGCAAGCAGCCTCGTACCCAGGCCAGTTCGCGCTATCCAAGCGACGTAACAGTCCTCGGCGAATGACAGGTGACGTCACATCCTAAATCCCCGAGGACGACAGGGAACGAGGCTGCGTAGGAAGGGTTTCCGTTTGCTTTCGGAGCAAGGAATTCCGAGGGCCAAAAAATGAAAGAGGGGGAGGGGGAGGGGAAGGAAGGTTTCCTAGCTTTCTTCCCCACCCCTCCCCGCTCTTTTACTCGCGCAGGAGCTCCTGACTCGCGCCATTTTTCGCGCGGTCGTTCTTTGCTCCGAAACCGCACGGGAACGATTGCTACGCAGGCTGTAAAGTCTCAAGGTGGGTGCTCCAATAAAGCTAACAATAATTTTTTAATTTTTAAAACTAAATTAGTGAGCAGCACTCTGCAAACTGTTGCTGTAAAACTTGTTTATTCTCCTACGCGTTTCGTCCAACTAACGTAGACTTCTTCAGGGAGTTTTACAATCAAATACTAAACGCCTGTATTTAAGCCATAATATGACTAAAAATAATGATGGTCGCAAACATTGAAGGTTTGGCCGGATTTACGAAAAGGAACAGGCGCAGCTGTGAAATTTTTTACGCAAAGCGTAAGAATACTTTCGGGCCACGGTTTTAGCTAGCTTAAATACAGGCGTTTAGTATTTGACTGTAAAACTCCCTGAAGAAGCCTACGTTAGTTAGACGAAACGCGTAGGAGAATAAACAAGTTTTACAGCAACAGTTCGCAGAGTGCTGCTCACTAGTTTAGTTTTAAAAATTAAAAATTAAAAATTGTCAGAGTTCCAAAACCTCTCACTTTCAAAACGAGGCAAGTGCAAAATCTTTTTTAAGAAAATGAGTTTTCTTTGCATGAGAATGAAGGATCGTTTTCATATCAATATTTAAACTTCTTCTCACTCAGCCTCGCTTTGTAAGGGCAGTGGACATTTCCCCTCTCCCCAGCTCTTCTACAACACTGAGGACGCCAGTGGTGTGCATAGCCGGTTATTTCCAGACAATGTTATGTTTGTTCGACTTACTGCTCCATTCCGCAACTTTACTGATATTGGATCAGCAATGTAAAAACTAAAAAAGAAACGGAAAACCTTATTTGGGGGAAACCGGCCACTCCCAATTTTCGTTTTCTATGATCATGTGACAACAATTGCGGCAGAAGCCCATTTTGTACCGAACCCTGGATGTCTTGAGACGCTGCTTCCAACAGTCCTGTTCCAAGAGCAATACAAAGGCCGTAAATGACTGTGTCAATTTCTAGATAAGGGTGTCCCGCATTTGAGTAATAGAGTGACAATATTTTTGGAAAATTCCAAAAAATTCCATGACGATTTTCGAGACGTTTGACTTGTAAACTCTCTAATCAGACAACGACGTTTTTCTAGCTCTTCCGAGACCTGCGGCTGAACTCCTGCTGGTAATAACTTGTAGGGGCCAATACTGCAGGTCAAAAATTGTTAAATCTAAGGCATAAGCGTTGTTTCGATTTGTTGAAAAAGATGCTATCGTTTTCAAAAGAGTTTCTTAACTGAAGTTTATAAAATCTTTATCATATACACATAGCTCAGTACTACAAAAGGAACGTTTGGGAGCAACATAAAAACAATTTTAGTGTCAGAATTACAACAAAATACAAAATCTTAGGTTCGATTTCCTCCGTCTCCCGGGTCCGGTCTGAGTGCGGGCTCATTTTCCCGAACAGCGGGTGGTAATCGAGCCTGACAAAATCACAATCACAACGTAACTAGGACTAATTTCAAGTAGCTAAAGACGTGCTAACGGGCAAAACAGACTACAGTAAATTATTTTAAATGGTTGCAGTCGTTGTTTGGAAAAATTCATATCATTATGAACCTGGTTGGTAAAGAAATTAGGTAACAGCATGATACAACTGTGTGCTATTTGATTTCCTGTTGCGCAGTATCATGATCAGTGTAGTGTATCGCTTTTCATGTTTTAAGGAAAGCAAGTGCTGAATCCTCAAAGTACGCATATGGAAATAAGCAATACATTGCTCTTGCTCTACTTAGAGCCATAAAATACTAAGATTTTAGAGAACTTTGTACTTGCACTAGTTTGCAATCAGTTAAAATAACACTACCATTTGGAGTTTTCTGTTCTGAACTTTCATCTTAACGCGCATGTTACATCACATAGAGCGTCACGAAACAGGGTGGATTACTGGAACAGCCGCAAAATGAAAGCCTTCTTACAAGCGAACATCAACATCCCGTATTAGAGGTTTCTGAGACCCTTGAAAGTTGCTTATCATCTACTTTACGGGTCGACTCCTCCCTACGAGAACCTCTATCAAGATTCGGGTCCTACAGCGGACAGTTCTTATACTTCTCAGGCTTATAATCTCTACCTCTGTGAAAACTTCATCCAGTAATGCCCTTTTTTGTTAGTCTGCGTGGCAGGCAAAGCATTCATTGTAATTAAAGAACTTGTCCTTGACAATTTATATAATCCATGTACTTGCTTGGAAGCGACATTTTCATTCTCTAAGACACAACATTTTTCACGACCAACAAAGTGTTCCTAATAAAGAATCCTTACAGTTTGCTTATATTTCTATTTGCAAACCTTGCGTTAAAAGGATTGTTGTAATTAATTAAGGGTTTCTTTGTGCAATGAGTCATTTCGTATCTGGTGACTACCTCTATTTTGAATGGTTATCAAAGAGTTATCAAAAGGAGAATGTTTCAAATCCTTTTAGTCAGAAATTCCACCGAATTATGTACGCTGAAAATATATATTATCGTAATTATTCAATTTTATCGAGTATTCCTTTTGAGAGTTTCATTGCACAGCCTGTAAATGACGACCTTTCTTTTTCAGGGATTCTTTCCACTGGTATGGTGGTCTTCTGGGTCCACTTGTTCCCCACTGGATCATAGACTTCCACTGTGTATGCATTTGCGTATCTAGGCCGTGAACCACCTAGCACATAAATTGTTCCATTCACACACAGCATGCTTCCGTGAGAACGGGGAACATTCAAGCTTCCAATGAACTGCCACTCATCGGTAGTGATATTGTACACCTCACAACTATTAAGTTCCTTCCGGCTTCTGTCTTTCCCTCCTGCGACGAAAATTTTGCCTCGAAAAGCCACGCCAAATGCTTCGCCTCTTTCCTGTTGCATGTCTGCAATTTTCTGCCACTGATGCCCAATAGTGTCGAATCTTTCAGCCACTGTAACATACTCTGGGTGTGAATAATTTCTCGTTGCTTCTCCTCCTAAAACATAAAGACAGTTACCAGCTGCAACAATACAAGAGTCATACCGGCAGCCCGATTCAGAAGAGTGAAAAGACAGCCATGAGTACGATTCCACATCGAATTTTTTCACAGTGGATGTTTTACCGGTAGTTTCACTATCATCAATGTGTATGGCATAGAGTTGCCCTCGGCAATCCAGATATTCTGTACGGTGGGAAATACCCAGCTCCAAAGTCACCCAAATGTTAAAAACAGGGTCATATCTTTGAGTGCTGCAGCCGTTAAAGGTATATAACTGATCATGAAAGTTTATCATCTTTGTGTATTGGCTTAGGTTTTGTTGTGGCTTTGTGAGATTGGACATAGTTTTCCAAGAGTCTTTCTCTGGAAGCAGTGGAAGGTAACAGAGAAGGTACTCTCCTCCGCCGACTACAATGGCTTGTGTCTCAAGTCTTTTTCTTGGTGACTGATTAATGATATCCTCGCTAGCGGTGGGAACTACATCTATGGCTTCCAATACTTTCGTCAAACAATCAGGGTCTTTCCGAACCAGTTCGTGCGTAACGAGAGTTAGCAAAGAGTCACGCGATAGCAAAACTAGTCGAACTTGTCCAAAAAGCTTTTTGAACTTATCTTTTCGCTCGCTTTTGTCGTGCTCGATCCAATTCAGTATTATTTTGAGGACGTCTTCTTCAGCTGATAAACGAATCTCGTCATTTGAAATCCACGTCTCAACATCTTCCGCTTTCAGGCTTAAGAATTCCTCGGATTCTGCTACGGAGGCGAAGTTTTCGAGCATGAACTTTGTACTATTGATAACTAATTCTTCACATCGATACTTCCCGGCGAAGTTAAGGGTTGAAATACAATTTGAGCAAGTCATTTGTTGTTGCTCAAGAAAACGCCCTGATTTGGTTTTTAAACCTTCAATGAGTAAATATTCCGCAGCAATAATCAGATCAGTGGCGTTCTTTTCATTTATCTCGACACTTCCTGTGTAGATGAACTCCAAAATATCCGCGAGAATCAACTCTGAGATGTCCTCGAACCTAATAACACCTTCTTCTTTTTCTTTCATCTCGCTCTGAAGAAGTTTCTCGAAGAACGGACTCGCCGCCGAGAGCAGATTTCTGTGGGCCTTGAATTCTTTCCCTCCGTTCGCCACCAAGGTTATGTCGCACAAATAATTCTGACCTCGTTGCAAGTTGAGTCGCTTGAGTAATTCCACACAGAAAGAACTTTGTTCAACTTCACAAATCGGTTTTAAATCCTCCATTTTTCCCAGGCCAGTGACTGATAGCAAACAAGCCCGGACTAGTACACAGCTGTCGTCAGGAATAGGAGTGAATGGAACGTGATGGCAACTTCCACTGAACTTCTAAGAATAGTGTCTAGTCTCGATTCAGTTGATTTCTCATCGATTAAAAGCTTCATTTCACAGCCATTTCAGTATTCACCGGTATTTTGTTCTTTTGGTTTGTCTTCCGAATGTAATATGTATGAGGGTATTGTTTCGAAAAAAAATCTGGAGACTCGTGGTTTCAATAGGCCATTTTGCAGTTGTGGGCTTATTGTCCTAGCCCTTGTCATGAGTGAACGTGAGGTTGAGGTTAACCTTGTTTTGATACAAACCTCCTGCTTTTTCTAATGCAAATTTGGCTAAAAAACACTAGTTAGCATGAGAGCAACATAATAAAGAAGAAGGGGTTGAATTAAAACAAGATCAACTCCAGCCTCGTTTCCACCTGTAACTGTAAAATGGGCTATTATCTTACCGGCGTGTAACAAAACAAAATGGAATAATTTGTTAGACCTAAGATTAAAGAATAGTTCTCTTAGTCTTTGGATATTGGCTTTGGGCCCGAAAGTTACCCGGATTTTCGAGAAGGCCCCAACACCGAGTCGGCGTTTTATTGACTCCATGCAGCCAGTAATATAATTTAATTGAAATTCATCATGACATTAATTACAGCTGTAATTAACATCATCTTTCTTCTGGACTCTCGTATGAAAGAGACGTGAATGCTTGTCGTCTGCCTTAGTACGGGTGTAAATCGCAAATTTTCGTCTTACTTAGGAGCGATTTAGAAGGGTGGTTAGGACAGAAATGCAATATTTTCATCCATACAGGTGTCGCTTGGGTTTTTCCCTCTATTTTCCTCATCCTATATCCTTGATACCGTATATCACAGGTCAAAGGCATTGTGAGGATTGAAGAAAAAACCTCTTTGATCTACAGTCAACTCTACATGCCTTCTTTACTCCTTTTTGTTGACTCTCTAAGGGGCTGTTTATATGATACCGGACTGACTTTCATTCCGGAATGAGTTTCATTCCAGAGTCTGCCTCCTCCTCAGGTGCTTCGTTTTTCGCACAGAGTTGAGCGCGAAACGCGAGTGACACGCAGTGACTGTTAACGAAGCGCAAGGGACTATGGGAAAGAGAAAAATGAGAGGCGAAGAGAGCGTCCACTGTATTCACATGATAGAATCGAACGACCCAGCCTAAGGCGCGTGGTTTTCGCGCCAGATCAGACACGCACGCGCCACTCACTTCAGACGATAAACATGACTTGCGATTTTCAAGTCGGAACAAAGTTCGTTTCCAGTTAACATGATACTAGAATGAAATTCCGTCGCAAAAAGAGAATTTCATTTGGAATGAAAAACGAAATGACTTGTACGCGTACGAAATGTCGTTTCGATAATTGTTCTCGTCGAAGGAGGGCTGCGATCCTTTTGGACAGCGTCCCCCATTAAGACCGACACAGTGTAGCCTGCGAGAGCATCCGGTTTTTTTCGGCTCTAGTTTCTAATTTCCTCCTTTTCGGAGAAAGAGAAGCGACGACAGGAAATACACTTAAAACTGTAAGTGAAGTCATAAAAGTGACGTGATCGTAGTGACCTCTTTTATACAAACACCTCTCTCATACGGACACTTCGCTCTGTCCCTTCGGTGTTCGTATTAGAGAAGTTCGACTGTAGACTAAAACGTAAGGGACAATTTAACAATTCACGGAATTACAGTATAAGTAAGGGAAAATTTAACTCTTACAAATAAGTCAGGGGGAGGTGACATATTCCTGCATATTCACCGAAGTTAAACATGTTCCATTGGCAGAATATTGCTTCAAGAAATTAAACGACAAACCGATATAAGGTTTCCTGTAAGATCAATCCATTCTCCACTTTACCTTCACGATAAATTCATTTAATAAATAAGTGGAGAGGCCGAGGATGGCTGTGATGGGACTTTGGGCATTTATTTTGTATACCGGACTGGTAGATGACATAAAACAAAAGAACAAAACCCTTGAAACAATACCAAGCAGATTTTCCCTGAACAAAAAACAAAGAAGTCTTTTTTCAAACGTCTTCTGTGTCCAGTACACGAAGTCTTGACTGGAATTTGGAATCCAAAAATATCTTGACAAATTGTCAATTCATTTTTGGTCAGGGAAAAGTGTACATTCGACTCTTAGTCTGGAAATTTAAAGAACTATGCCTCTGGCAACCATGTCTCAACAAGCTCATGCATGTTGAGAATTGAAAAACTGATCACCTTCAACATGACTTGTAGGTGGACATTTCATACAATTTCACTCTTGCATGGGTATTTGTTTCTCATGCATGTACACAAATAACTATGAACACATACATGATTTGGTACTTTTTACACGAATAATTCGGTGCTCATGAGGGTATTTTATTGCATATTCAATGATCACGAGTCATGATCACTGTTGATTCTCCTCAACTGCATCCTTAATGACATTGCTACATGCAATTTCTATTTTAGTGTAAGTGATTATGTTTGAACGTTACTGTTACAAACAATTCATTGTCAAGTGTGATTATGTACTACAACAAGAGCAAACACTCTCATTGATGTAGTTCACTTAACAATAAATATTTCAAATTACCAGCATTTAATTGTTATTTTCACTGCAGCATTCTCCCCTACCATTTCATCCACTCAGTACTAATGACACACTTCACACTTATTATTAAAGATGGCATGGGTTAGCTGCATGTTCGCCTGCAGTTATTCACTATCACATTCATTTCCTCTTGACTATAATTACACATGTAGAAGGGTCAAATGGGGTGAACACGGGACCTATGAAACATTGGCTACCTTTCCTTTACAACACCAACCCCATTTAAATCCCAGAAAATCCTTTTCAAGGACAGAGCACTGGGGCCAAATTTACTCCAAACAAAAAGAGATTAACTACATCACACCGTCCAGTATTAGAGCCACTGTTGAAACCCGCCCTCCCAGGCTACACAATTTACTCCAACTTCCCCCTCCTTCCATCCCTAACATTTTTTTTCATGTAATATATCAAACATGAGATGCAGTGTTTCATCACCAGATGAAACACCGAGAAGAGAGTTGAAAATACGACGCGCAGCGGAGTATTTTTGACGAACTTCGAGGTGTTTCATCTGGTGATGAAACACTGTGTCGAATGTTTGATATTTCTTCTCAAACAAAATCATTTTTGAAGGAGAAATTAAGGATGCAAATACTAAGCAGTGTTTCATCCGATTTCCAAACACTCATTAAACATTAATTTCCTTTGTATTTTCTTAATGAATTATTAATGAGTTTGAGAACTGGTGATGAAACACTGCATCTCATGTTTGATATATTACTTCAAGACTTCAGAGGTAGTTCATTACTTTATTGCTACAATACTGTTTCATATAATCAAAAATGGCAACACTCATCAGGCAATTACAGCGAACGCCCGATAAAATTCAAATGCTGGCGCTTTATACAAGGCAAAGGCTGTTGCTAGGTAGTAGTTGTGAAACCAAATTCTTAAAGTTTTGGACTGCATATTTGTTCCTGTGGGGATATGAACTTGCTAATTCATTGCGCTTATTTAGGGTGCAGAGATATTTTCTGTAGATAATTACAAACTGTTCAAAGAGACATAGGCCACATTTCTTGTTAATGTTACTGTACGGCTGGCATTTTTCATTTTACTTTAAAAGGTTTGTTGGCGACCTAAAGTGACCATATGTGTTTAGATAGTCCGGTTTCATTTCGTCTGCTATTGAGTCGAAGAATGATCCATGGTTTCTGTAACGTTCTCTAAAGTGGGAGGCAAGCTTGGCTTTGTACAGGGCGTTTGTTTGCAGACATTTCCCTTCAAGGGGGCATACAGTTTGTATGTTTGGTCAGTTATAGCATACATTTCTTGGATTTTTTGTGAAAGGGATTTTGTTTCAGCTCCTGTATGTCAGTAGTTTCACCGAATAAAACATTGTTAAAACCTCCAAGAACTTGATCTCTTTACTCTATCAAGCACTCCTCTGGAGAGTTTCAGTGCACAGCCTGAAAATGACTTCCTTTCTTCTTCAGGGATTCTTTCAACCGGTATAGTGGTCTTCTGGGTCCACTTGTTCCCCACTGGTTCATAGACTTCCACTGTGTATGCATTCGCGTATCTAGGCAATGAACCACCGAGCACATAAATTGTTCCATTCACACACAGCATGCTTCCGTGTGAACGAGGAACATTCAAGCTTCCAACAAACTGCCACTCATCGGTAGTGATATTGTACACCTCACAACTATTAAGTTCCTTCTGGCTTCTGTCTTTTCCTCCTGCGACGAAAATTTTGCCTTGAAAAGCCACGCCAAATGCATAGGCCCTTCCCTGCTGCATGTCTGCAATTTTCTCCCACTGATTTCCAATAATGTCAAATCTTTCAGACACTGTAACATACTCTGGGTTTGAATAATTTCTCGTTGCATCTCCACCTAAAACATAAAGACAGTTCCCAGCTGCAACAATACAAGAGTCATACCTGCAGCCCCAATTGGAGGAGTGAACAGTCTGCCATGAGTACGATTCCACATCGAATTTTTTCACAGTGGATGTTTTACCAGCAGTTTCATTATTATCAACGCGTATAACATAGATCTCCCCTCGGCAAACACCCCGCTTATTATCAATGTCTATAGCATAGAGCTCCCCTCGGCAAACACCCACATATTTTGTACCGTGGGACATATCCAGCCTCAAAGTCGCCCAAATGTCAAAAACAGGGTCATATCTTTGAGCGTGGTAGCCACTAATGGTATACAACTGATCATGAAAGTTTATCATCTTTGTGCTGTGACTTAGGTTTTGCTGCTCTTTTGTGAGATAGGACATACTTTTCCAAGCGTCTTTCTCTGGGAGCAGTGGAAGGTAACAGAGAAGGTACTTCCCTCCGCCGACTACAATGGCTTGTGTCTCAAGTCTTTTTCTTGGTGACTGATTAATGATATCCTCGCTTGCGGTACGAACTACATCTATGGCGTCCAATACTTTCGTCAAACATTCAGAGTCTTGTCGAACCAGTTCGTGCGTAACGACAGTTAGCAAAGAGTCACGCGATAGCAAAACTAGTCGAACTTGTCCAAAAAGCTTTTTGAACTTATCTTTTCGCTCGCTTTTGCGGTGTTCGATCCAATTCAGTATTATTTTGAGGACGTCTTCTTCAGTCGCTAAACGAATCTCGTCGTTTGAAATCCACTTCTCAACCTCTTCCGCTTTTTGGTTTAAGAATTCCTCTGATTCTGCTACGGAGGCGAAGTTGTCGAGTATGAACTTTGTACTATTAGCAACTAATTCTTGACATCGATACTTCTCAGCGAAGCGAAAAGTTGAAATACAATTTGAGCTAGTAATTTGTTGCTCAAGAAAGCGCCCTGATTTGGTTTTTAAACCTTCAATGAGTAAATATTCCGCCGCAATAATCAGATCAGTGGCATTCGTTTCATTTATCTCGACACTTCCTGTGTAGATAAACTCCAAAACATCTGCAAGGATCAACCCTGAGATGTCCTCGAACCTAATGACTCCTTCGTCCTTCTCTCTCATCTTGCTCTGAAGAAGTTTCACGAAGAACGGACTCGCCGCCGACAGCACATTCTTATGGGCCCTGAACTCGTTTCCTTCTTTCGCCACCAAGGTTATGTCGCACAAATAATTCTGGTTTCGTTGCAAGTTGAGTCGCTTGAGTAATTCCACACAGAAAGAATTTTGTTCAACTTCACATATTGATTTTAAATCCTCCATTTTTGACTGATGGAAGACAAGCCCGCCCCGATTCGTGCAGAGCAGTTGTTTGTGCTTTTGGAGTGAACAAGCCTGTAGTGAGGGAAGTTTAGGCGCACAGGGAGTGTCATAACAACTCCCACTATAGTATCAATTTCTCAGGGATTATTTTAAGGCCCATCGTAACGTTGTGTCTCCCGATAACCTGACCGAAATGTTTAACAGTTCGGGAGTATGCCAATTTTGGAAGAAGCGAAAACAATAGTCTACGTCACCAACCATAACATGATCACCATGGCGATGGCCATTTTCAAAACATACAAAATGGCGGACAAGCGAGAGGAAAGAGTATTGACAGAAATTCTCGTTTGTTCTTGTTTCATCGAGCCTTTTATTTGTCTTCTCCTTACTATGAATTGGGAAGTACCTTGAGGACAAGGAGTAACCATTCTTGCGCTATAGTTCTTCGCTTATTGCGCGCTTTGTAGGCACTTCGTACTCACTGCGTATGTAATCAGTACCAATCAGTACACCGAAAATAGGTAAGCACGCTAGCAAGTTTGTGCCTATTTCTTTCATTAATTTTTTATATCATAAGAAAAAAGAATGCTTTGGAAACAACTAAAAAAGTGATTTGTTCTATAATTTATTTCCTTATGTTTGCAAAGAGTAAGTTTTACAGTAATTTTTCCCGTTGCTTCTGTTTCCCTCTCGGGGAGTGAGCGACTGGCCGGAGAAGAAGACGGCTTTAATTCAGGTTATTGTTTTGGTGCAAGCGAGTTATTTGTGAGTAAAATATCTGTTTTTTTCGAATATGACGTTCTGTTGGTGTATGTCCTGAAGCGGTTCCGTCCAGGTATACAACAGGTTTACAAGGGATTTCTGAGGGTATTGTGTCCGCGTTTTCTTCTTGAAAACCCACAAGGTGAAAATCTTGCTTATCATCCCTGATCATTTTTGCTTTGTCCCGCTTCAAAAAAACCTACTGCTTTCAATTATTCCACTGTCTGAAGTTCACTGATTATTTGCTCAAGCTTAACAAATGCAAGAGACTCTTTAGAATTTAATATACATACTGGAAAACCAAGAATGCCTGTTACATGTTTTTGGATATATTGATTAAAATGGGATACTATAGTCTTGTAGTCCACCGGATTTGACCAGAGGTCAGAGATCAACAGGGTTATGGGTTGTTATAAAATATCCTCTTATATGGGATTTGATGTATATCCGAATAATACTAAATTATTGTTTTTAACTCTGGGGTTGCCTTCAAACCAAAGGCATTGTAACTTTGAGGAGCACTTTTCTCCAAGTCTTCTCTGTTGGAACCCTCAAACAATTCTATTAGACAAGGTTTGGCCCAAAATAATAATGATTGCTGCACTTGGCATGGACACAACATAAGTTTTTCAAAGTTCTTTTTCATAGTTCTCCATGTTTTTATTGAACAGCACTTTTAAGAAAACAAAGCTCACACATCAGAGTAAAGATACAATTATAAAAGTTATTAATTTTATTGTTACATTTTGTTTTTTGTAAATAAACATTTTATTTCTGTTCCTGACATAAACTATGAGCAAGGGATCTATGCAAGTCACGCAGACCATCAGCAATAAAAACAAGTAAAAACTGCAATTTTACAGCAATTTTTAAGCATTCTTTTCACTGATTAGGGTTTAGGTTGGGGTTAGGGTTATGATTAAGTGCTGTTTAGGGTTAAACACTTATTTACCAGGGTTAGCTTTCAGTTAATTCTTTCGGTATTACTGTTTTCGATTTTTATGTATTGTCTTCAATGAGTCATATCTGACCTGCATGACTCGCTGCCATGGCTCGCTGGCTCGCATTTTATACACACTCTTATATCTAGAAAACCTTGTTTTTTTAACACCTTCTTGGACATGAAAACCAAAAACCAAAGCTTAATTGATATAATGAAGACAGTAGCAGCTGACATAGGTTTTCAATAGTTAGCTTGTGAGATGTCTCTCATGTATTATTTATTGGGGAGGATGATTAAAACAAATTTTGTTGAAGACGATACATTAATATAGATGCTTTTTCATCGAGAGAATCTCAATAATTTAGGATTTATTCAAATACAAACATATTCAATATTATGACATAAAATGTGGGCTCATTGATCATGCAAAGGTATTGATGGGGGAGAGTGTGGCATTTTTCCTGTTTCAGATTGACCTTTGCACAGTACAGGGACTGAACATATTATGTATTTGGCATTTGTAAAGTATAAACAATATTTGACGCAAGGGATTGAACATTATGTGGAGAAAATCTTCACAAGCTTCCACTTCCATGACTCCTTCCTCATCTATCTCCTTTAAAGCCCCTTGAATAAGGGCCACAGTCTCTTCTATGGTTGAATGGTCATTGAGTGTGAGCTTCCACTCACAAGGTATATAAGCCCCCCC